AATGGACCACCTTTAAAATTGATCCATCAGTCAGCTGCATGTAGATAATTCACTTAAAGTGAAGGTGAGCTGAGAGAATTGTCCCCATGACATCCGAATGAAATTATTAAACGCAGGACTATTCATTCACAAAACACCTCAGAAGCATACAGACAAAGGTTAAAAAAAAAGAGAGTAAAGGTAAAGGACCCCAAGACGGTTAAGTCCAGTCAAAGGTGACTATGGGGTTGTAGTGCTCCTCTTGCTTTCAGGCTGAGGGAGCCAGTATTCCAGGTCATGAGGCCAGCATAACTAAACTGCTACTCGCACAATGGAACACCTTGACGGAAGCCAATGATGGAAGCCAGAGTGCACAGAAATGCCGTTTACCTTCCCACCACAGCGGAACCTATTTATCTATTTGCACTAGTGTGCTTTTGAACTGCTAGACTGACAGGAGCTGGGACAGAGCAACGGGAACTCACTCCGTCGCAGGGATTCGAACCACCGACATTCAGATTGGCAAGTCCAAGAGGCTCAGTGGTTTAGACCACAGCACCACCCTTCTGACAAAAGTGCATTCTGAAAAGGCACAACCCAGGTGCCGCTTTACTGAGAATCAAGTCAAAGACATTCATATATCCACAGTTTATAAGACACATTCCCCCAATACCCTCGTGCACCTTCACATGTAGTCAGGAAGCAATATCCACAAGGAACGGCCAAGATCTCAATTCTGTTCCTTAAGACTGTGTGAGCATATTCTTTCCCCTCCCACATTTTGTATCTTCTTTGTCTCACAAGAGAAGGAGACTTCCCACATCTTCTCAAGCCAATTAAGAAAACTAATTAATGTTGAGTAAGTTTTCTTTTTAAAAAAAGATGAGATGAAACTTCAGGGTAATTCCATGAGCGACTAACTTAACACCTGTAAGATTATTTCCATAATAGTTTGTAGCTGGCATCTGTCTGTTTCAAGAGACAATGGAGGAGTGAGCCTTTAGGGGTGAGGCCAAGTTGCTGGAAGGTTACAGCGCCTGCTGTGGCTGTAGAGAGTGATATGGGAGAGACATGTTTTATTGCAGCTGGGACAGATGAAAGTGTCCGGTTGTGCTGCTGCAGGTTTTCTTCTCTCTACACTTCTCCCAGCAGTCATTCCTCCTCTGGTCACTGCTATGGATGCACAACATGACTGTCAGGAATGAGCCACCTCCTAGTGGAACAGGAAGAGGATGAAGCTGATCAAAGAAGTCCAAAGAGTCAGCGAATGGGAAGGCTGCTAGACAGGAAGCAAAACAAGAGACGTAAGGGGTGACAGTTCAACATATTCTGTAGGAACCGGAAGAAGTCTTCAGAAGGGTCATCTTGAGTGATAATGCTGGCGGCTTTGTTAGAGCTGTCCAGAGCTATCTGTTTGTTTTTGCAATAAATCCTCCTTTTAATTACCTACGCTTACTGTGTTATCAAGTTGGGATCCTGGACTCCTGACACTGATTGTCTGACTCCAGGCACTGTGGTTGTCTGCAAGAGATCCCACATGGCAGGGTTGATGTTGTCAGCCTTTGTGTCACTTTTTGCAGAGCTCTTTGGAACACAGAGTTGGTCTGCCAATGGGCCTGGTGCCTGAAGCCAGCTCCCTGTGGAGCACATCCGTGGGGATCCTGACATCTTTCATTGTGTGGACATGTAGATGTCCCTAAGACATCTTTGGGGGAAATCTATGGGACAAATGTTTTCTGGCAAGTGACATTTGGCCAATATAACATGGCCAACATAATATGTGACAATTGATTGATAGACACCCAGAAATAAATGCTCCAGACCAAAACGCTATGCACATGATGCTTTACTGTGCATTCACAAGTTTCAGGTCACCATACAATCTTTGTGGGAAGTTGTAATGCCCGTGGCAATTTACTCATAGCTGCGGCCATACCCTAATGTTTTCTTTCATTTCAAAACAATATTTATCATCATTTGCAGGGAAGACAAATGTCACAGAATTCCATTTTTAAGAAGAGAATTCCATATTAATGACTATATTGCATGACCTATCCAAACGAAAATAATCTAGTGTGAGACCTCTGAAGAAGAACCCAACCATCCATTTCCAATGATAGACCGATACAATTAATTCAGGCAATTAGAGCCTAATACCCATTTTACTTGCCTAGGAGATTTAATGGCACAATATAATTGCAATTAAGTATTGCTTCATTGCTGCCAGGAGGAGAAAGAGAGGGAGAGGAATTGCAAACATTTCCATCTTAGTGCATAATTGTTTACAAGACATTGGGGGTGGGGGTCCTATAGTAAGAACTGGTTTGGTTGCAACAGATCTCCATCTTAGCTGGCTGCTTCTTGACTCAGCTGGCTTGAGCTGGTCTTAATTACCCAACCCAGGTTCAGTTGAAGGTTCAGTTGAAGATACATAGGTACAACTTGTCATCCTGACTACATATAAATTCTGCAAAAGGGGTTTCTGGGGGTGTAGCAGAGACAGGACCAAAGGGGTGGTGGGTGGCTTAGGCTGGATCCCAACCTGTTTAGCTTGATCATGTGACCTGGCAACCTGGCATTGAACCTTATTTTAAAGGCTTGTTCTACCTTTGTCGGGTGGAGCAGCAGCAGCACCCTTGAGGCTGAACAGGGTTGGGATTTGATGCAACTATACGCCAGCTTAATTTACAACAGTTTGCTTTTCACCAACTTTTTCTGCATAGGATAGCTCCCTAAATTAATTCAGTGCAGATTGCAAGGTTATTACTATTTATTTTAGGTCTCCCCAAGTTGAGAGGTTCGGTTATGAGCCCGGGATAATATATTCATTTATTTAAGTGAACTCTGCCCTTCCAATAAACACCCACTTATAAAAAGTACAATATCAAACAGCATGGAAATTTTATGAAATAAGTAAAATATTTCCATTACTCTATATACAAATCCTGCTTGCATCACCCTCCTGTGCATAAACAAAAGGGATAAAGCTGCAAATAGTAAGTCACCATACATGTGATTTAGCAAACCAGCTTAATATGGAAACATACACAGTTTTTTCTGTTTTTAGAACAAAATTTCATTCAGTTGCAATTCCTGGTGTCCAGGTACAAGTCTGTGAACATGAATGAGCAAAGGGTGGGGTGGGGTGGGCAGCAGGGTGAAAAGGGGACAAGTCTTCTCCATCTTTGATAGTTCTTTTGGGAAGGGAATTTCAACAGATGTCATGTAATCTGCACTAATGCAAGTGTGGAGCCAGTGTTCCTAGGGAGAGCATTCCATTACTGAAGCGGCAATACAGCGGTACCTTGGTTCTCAAACTTAATCCATTCCAGACTTTAAAAAACAACTCATAAAAAGCAATTTAACATGAATTTTGCTATCTAGCGAGACCATTGATCCATAAAATGAAAGCAATTGTAGCAGGAAACCCCCCCCCCATCATTCAGTTTTTACAAACTTCACACACACTCACACACTACATACGCTACGCTTCTGTTATAAATTCATAGAAAATCAACCATACATAGGATTTGCACTGTTCCACTTTTATTTTACTCCATGAAGGAAGGACCACAAAATGGGGAAGGTTTGATACAGGACAGCCATAACCCCTTGACCATACCAGCACATCCACAGGAGCCCTGCCCAGTTGCTATGCCAACCCTGATGGTCCCAGACAGAAGACCATCAAGATCACAAAGAACTTGCATATGGGAGTGGATTCAGCATGGACTGGAACAAAGGACAATAATCAGCTCTTCCCTCTGGGGGCAGGAAACTGCAAACTCCCCTCTGTCACCTGGAAAGTACTCATGGGGAGGGGGAAAGGGGGAACCAGCCAGGTGACAGGACACTCAGGTTACCACCACAACTCCTCCCTCAACCCCTCCTTTCTGTGATGTATGTATCTGAGGGGTGGTCTTAGGTTACACCCCTTCTGTGATGTTTGTATGATGTTTCTGGGGGTGGTCTTGATCTACAGGGTGGCAATTTCAAAAGTCTTTATAAGATCTTGCACACCATTTTTCTTTGTCCTTCCTCTCTCCTGCAAGTGAGGGGAGCACCCTGTTGCAACAGTTCAATAAAGACCAAGCCTACAGGCTGCTGTTTTGCTCCAAGTAATCCTGGTTGGTGTCTTTGTTTTTGTCCAAGGGAGCCCTCAGATTTTTCCGTTAACACAATAAACAATGCCCTGCAGTCACACAATCAATCAATCAATCAATCAATCAATCAATCAATCTGTAGCTGAACTGGGTTCCGCACAGTCACAAAAACAAAACAAAAAAGCTGCAAAAAGAAAAACGCAAAATAAATAGCAAAAACAGACAGACCTCAGCGTAACACTCAAAACGGAAGTGTGGCACTCAAAACGGAGCATGTTCAGCTTCAAAAAAAGTTTGCAAACCGGAACACTTACTTCCAGGTTTGCAGTGTTGGGGTTCCAAGTTGTTTGAGAACCAAGGCATTTCAGAACCAAGGTATCACTGTTCTGAGACTACTCTCTTACCAAGAATATACACATATTTCCCCAATAACCAGCCACCCCACCCCTCATAAGTATATTGTGTGGTTACTAGATGATTCACATGATTCAGACCAGTCATCTCAAGCAAAGAGTCCATACAGAAAGTCCTAGAGTTCAATTTTTCCATCATCTCTTCTCTTGAAAAGGATGGTTGAGTAGAACAGTCATTTCAAAGTCAGTCCCATTTCATAGAATCATAGAATCATAGAGTTGGAACAGACCACAAGGGCCATCGAGTCCAACCCCCTGCCAAGCAGGAAACACCATCAGAGCACTCCTGACATATGTCAGAGCACTCCTGACATTTCAAGGAATGCAGACACAGTCTTATCTTGTGCTTGTGACCATATCAAGGGGGCAGGCAAAGCTGTCCAATCCCCACTGAAAACACCAAGCAAACATGTAAAATATGTTACTACTAAAATCATTCTGGAAATACAGTACCACAGCTGGAAAATATATCACAATACTGCCACCAGCTACTCCCTGCGGCACTTCACTTTGTTATAGCTTTCCACAAGGCAGATTTCACCTCTTTATTCCGTATGGTGTATATGAAAGGGTTCAGCAATGGGGTTAATACCGTGTTGAGAACAGAGACCACTTTGTTGCTGTGGACAGAGGAGTGTGCCGTGGGCTTCAAGTACATGAAGAGAACAGCTCCATAAAATATGGTGACCACCGTGAGATGGGAAGCACAAGTGGAGAAGGCTTTCTGTCGTCCCTTGCTGGAAGGAATCCTCAAAATGGTTGAGATGATGTAGATGTAGGAGACCACAGTGAAGAGAAAGGAACTTGGGATTATGCTGGCTGTCCCCAACAAACCAAGGAATTCAATGAGGCTGGTGTCTCCACAGGCCAATTTCAAAATGGGGCCAACGTCGCAGTAGTAATGGTCAATTGTGTTGCCAGCACAAAATGGCAATTTCAGTATCAAAGCTGCCTGACTGAAGATAACTACAAATCCCAGTGACCAGGAACCCAGTGTCAACAGTAAGCAGAGGTTTTTGGTCATAATTGTGGTGTAATGTAAAGGTTTGCATATGGCAATGTATCTATCAAAGGACATGATGGAGAGGATGAGAAATTCAGTGATGCCAAGGAAGAAGTGGAAGAAGGACTGTACCACGCAACAATGGAGGCAGATAGTGGTCCTGGCTATCAAGAAGGTCTCCAGCATTTTAGGGATGACAGTGGTTGTGTACCAGATCTCAAGGAAAGACAGATTGCTCAGGAAAAAATACATTGGGGTCTGGAGTTGCTTGCTGACTCTCACGATGATGATGATGAGGCCGTTCCCTGCCAAGGTGAGAATGTATATGACAAGGATGAGTACAAACAGTGACAGGTGCCACCGCCGAAGAGTTGGGAAGCCCAGAAGAACGAACTCATGCACTGATGTGTCATTTGCCATATTTGACTCATGTCTTAGGAAGAAAAACATGTGAATGAACAAATGAATGATCAAAAGGATTAGGCAATTTTTAAAACTAACAAAAGTACTCCTACAAGAATGCAGAGGGAGAGCAAGAAGATGGACACAGGGTTCATTGACATGATTAAGCTCAGTAGATTTTAGCAGGAGCAATCCATATTTATTAAATTTATATAGAACCTTTCATCACAAGATCTCAGAAGGTTGACAGAATAAGATACAAGATAAAACACATGTAAATAATTAAGAAAAAAAAAAAAATAGTAATCCAAGTTTGTTCCAGGGTACAGTTTTTGAGCTTTCAATGGATGAATCTATGGCAGTCATATTCAAAAGAAGTAAATGTGCAGTGTGACATCAAAACATTAATGGTGGGATTCATCCAATGAATTTTGTGCGTGGGAGCCCAGCACAATAGGTTGTTTTCCCCTCCCCTCTCCTCATGAGTCCTCCCCACTATGCCTCAGTCTGAAACTGACTCTGGGAACAGTTCGGACACCCCCCAGAACAGCACACAAGAGGAGCAGGGGTCATTTTATCTGGCAAACTTATATGCTTGCACAGACTGAACATTTGTAATAGTGTGTTGAATTCTACCCTACCTGCCATTTAAAAATGCCCATGGTGAGTAGAGTAAAAATAACCTGCATTTTGGATTCTTTGAGTTGAAAACCTTGTTGGGAATATGGAGAAGTTATGTATATTGAGGTGGGAGGGTGTGGGAGTTGTATCTTTTGGGAAACATTGAATGAAACATTTTGGGAAAATTGAAGTGCAATAAATATGACAATATTTGGAGATGACTTGCCTGGAACCTTTTGCTAGGTGGAGTCATTTGCAATCTACTGTATGAACTATCCTAGCTGATAGTTTTTCATGTCATCTTGCGAAGGTAAATGACATTCACCGAATGAGAAAATATCTGAAGTTTTATTGGGTTGGATCCTGGAAAAAGGTTTTAGATGCACCAGTATGGTTGCATGGCTTATTACAAGTAGTATTAGTGTTAATATTAGTATTAGCCCAGGGTAGCAAACAAGAAAACATGTAATTAAAGAAATGCTAAATATCTAAAACCATTAAAACTTAATCCAAATTTATCTGAATATTCAGCCCCCTCAAGCTGTCAGACATAAAGTTTAAAAGGAAGAACATCCTAAATCTCCCACATGTTCCATATAATGCATTTCAGTTAATATAATGACAACAATTAATGTGGATCACCCACAAAGCAGGAGAGAATACTCACATCCCTTTTTGTACTTAGCATTTCTTCTTCTTTAAGAATCTTTCAGATGTCCAAGGCAAAGAAAACTTGTGTAAGACCTCAGAAGAAGAACCCATCAAGTGATTCGCAATGTTTTAAGTAACTGATCAAGCAATATAGTTATTAAAGCTGAATCTATGTTTTACTTAACCCAGGGGATTATAATGTTACAAGATAAAGCGCAATTAGCTACTGCTTCACTGGGTTGGTTTTTTAAATAATAATTAAAACACCAAGTGAGTGTAAGTTCCAACCCAGGTCAATGTGTAGGTTTTCCAGGGTTGCACACAGTGCACTCAGGAGCAGACATGCAGTATATAAAAAGGAAATGGTTCCATTCAGTTTTATGAATGACAAACACCCTCATGGCTAACCAAAAGGCTCACAACCAATGTTGTGAAGACTGCCAAAGAAATTCAAAATGAATGCCTGCTTGGCTTCAGCCACAATAGGGAATATAATGAATTACTAATCAACAATGGTTCACTGCAACCTAATGAGGCACAAAGGAGTATGGCCAATCCTCCATTCTTTGAGCAGAAGCAAATTGTTGTTTTATTATTTGTGATGGGGTTTTTTTTTTTGCATTGGGAATGCTATGCTTCTGATTGAAGGAAGAATCTTAAGTGTGTTCAGCCCTAGACTTGCCCTGACATCCCTCCCCATTTGAGATTTGTAGCACATGAATATATGCAGGGATTCCCAAACTTTTTGGGACCCAGGGACATACTGGGAAAACTAAGAAACTGTCTTGGGTGCTACAAAATATCCCTTTCACAGAATAGAAAATAGTGATTCCAGGAATATCGTTTCCCCCCCACACACAACAGAAAAAACACCTATAAAGTCCCCACATCCATACCTAAACATACAAAAAATTAGGAACTCCCCCACCAAAAAAATTAATAATTGGATACCCACTCAACAAACAAAAAGGCATCAACAGCAATGGAAATAACAGGAGGGCAAGAGGCATCGGTGAGTTACAAGGAAGATGTCTCTGGGTGTTACGGTGTCCACGAGTGCCAGAGGGAATGTTGATTCCAATTTCCATATGCAGTCTTTTTCAGCAACCATTGACAAAGCATGATTAGCTACTTCATAGTAGAAACAGATACAAGCATACATAAATCAGCATTTATGATATGGCTGATAAGGCTACCCTTGCCTGAAACCCTGGATAGCTGCTGTCAATAAGCAATACTGAGCTCAATGGGAAGGTGGTCTGACAGGGTATGAGGAAGCTCTACAGAAATCATCTCCATGGGAAATAAGCTTGCAGTGTGTGGTTGATTTTTGTTGTTTCTTTTTTAAATCAACCTAGTGAGACATGCAAATGTTCATTAGTTGGGAGGAAGTTAGTTGGTCGTCCTTCAAAGCAGCACTAGGGAACCTCCTGGGTCCAGAAGGTGTCCTTCTTCCTCAGACCACAAGCACTTCCCCACACCATCAGGTTGCAGAGAAGTAAAGGTGTGGCTGAGCAAGGAGGAACAAGTTGTGATGGCTTATCTTGGGCTGAGCTAAGGTTGGGAGCTGAATGCTGGTTGAGTGCAGCTGATCTGGGAATAAACTTTCTGAGCCAGAGAGCCACTGCATCCTAAGATGCTCATCTTGGTAGATTGTGCCATAGGACTACACCCTAAGATTCACTGGGATAAGCAGAGGTTGGTCTCTGGTTGAGTTTGAGCTCAGCCATGGCTGCACTGACTGAAGTTCCTCAGCTCAGCCTGAGATACACCACCGTAAGTCCTCTATTTTGTCTCAGCTGGGTCTCAAATTAGGTGTGAATGCTCCTTCCATTGGTCAGGATATTCTTCCTTCTGTTATCTAAAATCACACTGCTGAAAATAATGACAGATGTTACTGAGGGCAGCTGGCGACTTTCACTTCGGAAAAACGTATGGTGGAATCATTTTTTAAGCATAAATGGGAGGGATAAGGAGGCCACTGGAGAACATGACTGTCTATTCTGTGCTAATCAGAAGACTCCATTCAGAAGCCATTTTGAAGATTGGTAGAATAGCTCAATTCAGCTTGGGCTAATTTGGAGGCTACCCAGTTTGGCTCAAGGGTCTTGGACTGCTTCACTCCCCCTAAGACACACTTGCATGAGAATAAGTTAAATTGGAAACAATGGTTCTTAGTTTTGAGTTGACATATGTAGCATTGTACTATTAAATTGACTTATTTTTGCACAAGATAAATGAGTCAAAAACAGAACTTTGCTTTAAAGAAGAGTGACTACCTAATGAGTATTGCTACTGTAACTCTCCAATCTTATTACAAGGTGCAAAAGAGTAACTACAGCAGATATTAAACGGTAGGTGAGTTTTTTGGGGGTTGGGGGTTACAATCAAATCTTGAATATATGCTCAGAGTGCCTTGCTGAGAATTTTGTAAGTGGACATAGAAATAGCTTTGCCCCAATCCACCCAAAACCTGAAACCTGAAATGATGGCTCTGCATAATGTATCTCAGTGTTTGAAATCTCACATCAGGAAAGTTGCCTACCAACCTTGTATTTTGTTGATTTGTTAATAATAGTCTTTATATAGACACAAAATTAAAAAGCAAGCATAAATCTGCAATCACCACACCATAAATGTGCACAGTTTGGAATATATATTTTTAAAAGTCGCACTTGAGAAATCCTCTTCTCTTGTGGATTGCGCTCCGGACTGCCTCTTTGACCTCTGTGTTCCTGATTGTGTATATGAAAGGGTTCAGCATTGGAATGAGGGTAGTGTTCAGTACCGCCACTACCCTTGATAGACGAGATGAGGAATGAACATTGGGTCTCACATACATGAAGACAAGGGCTCCATACAACATGGACACTACAATCAGGTGAGACGTGCAAGTGGAGAACGTCTTCTTACGCCCTGTGGCTGAAGGTATGCGGAGGATGGTGGAGATGATGAAGATGTAAGACACTGCAGTGAGGATCAAGGTCATGATGACAATCAGGATGGAGGTCAACAGTCCCAGAGATTCAATCAAGTGGGTATCTGTACAGGCTAGGCTTAAGATGGGACCGATATCACAGTAGAAATGGTCAACAATGTTGGACCCACAGAAAGGCAGCCTCCACACAATGATGGACTGAAGAAACATAATTATGAATGCTACATACCAGGTGGCAAAAGACATCTGAATGCAAACATGCTTTGTCATAATCACTGGGTACTGAAGTGGCCTGCATATGGCCAAATAGCGGTCAAAAGCCATAGCTGTGAGGATGAAAAGCTCTGTGCTACCCAGGATGAAGTGGAAAAATCCCTGGGCCATACAGCAAGCAAAACTAATGGCAGTCTTTTTCTGCAAAAGTGTTTGCAGCATTTTTGGTACAACGGTTGTTGTGTAGCAGATTTCCAGAAATGCAAGATTGCACAGGAAAATGTACATTGGGGTTTGAAGTCTTGGCTCAATGGTTACAATGATGAGGATGAACCCATTGCCTACAATGGCTATGATGTACATGAATAAACCAATTACAAAAAACACTCCATGTAATTCATGCAGAAAAGGGATCCCCAGCAGAATAAATTCAGTCACTGTCGATGCATTCATCACCTCCATGTTAGCAAACACACAAATGCACACAGCCTAAATAATCCCCTAGTATGGCTCTGAAGATATCCAATATTTTTAAAATCCACAAAGAAGCCTTCTTCAGAACAACTGGCATGGAAACTGGGGGTGTAGGAAAAAACAAAGAAATACGTATTCAGATATTTTGGAGTGAACGTCTATTTATCAGGATGTCCTCGCTTTTTTACAGTGAAAGATAAATGTTGTTGTATCAACTGGAGCTTTTCAGTTAATGTATAATCAAATTTAGGAATGGCCAAAATACGCCCCAGCCCACAATAAAGTATTTAAATCAATCAGATTTGTTCATGACTGCTTTAAAAGTAATATTAGGGAGGTAGTTGATGGAAACAGTGCCAGTGGAAATGCAAAGCCTGAATGTCACCCCCAACCCATTACTGTATTGTTGCATCTTTAATTCAATTGCTAATTCAATTCACCCCTTTATCTATCTCCCCGCCCTCCTCCCCTTCCTTCCTTCTACTGTAATTTTGGTTTAGAGTAAACCTCATTGAACTATGTGGGTCTTAAGAGAAAATTTGCATATTATTATTCTGCATATCCTACTCTCTCTCTTCCTCTCTCACATATACCTTGCAATCTGCCTATATCAGCTTGGTTGGAGGCAAAACCCACAAGAATTTGAGGCTGTTGATCAGAATGGAAGGAAGGAAATGAGAAGATCACAACAAAATGGGGGGTAGAGAGAGGAGGTAGAAAGAGGGGAGAAGATCGAAAAGGGGAAGAAAGGGGGGAAATGGGAAAAATTGAAAAGGGAGCAAGAAATAGGAGAGGCAAATAAATAAGGAGAAAGCAATGTGAAAGGAAAGCACCTGCTAGAAAGCTGAACAGAAAGGGACAGCATTAAAAAAAGACAGACAGCATGCCTGGCAGCCAGCAACCTGCTTCAAAAGGACATAGTCTTACCTTTTGCTAAAATTCTGTAGCGAAAATGACAACACAGTTAAGATGCTTTGCCTTAATCCAGAAATGGCTCTATGGTCTGCATCTTGCATTCCATATGTTTCCACAGTATCCCAAAGGTCAAATGCCTGTTCAATCTCATTCAACTACAAAAGAAATCTGGTGTCTATTCTGCTCTGTCTCTTAGCTGGATGCAGAATCATCTTCATTAACATGACTTCTGGAGGGATCGTTATTGTATTCAATATTCCAAATGCCCTATTTGTTCACTTTCCAAGAATTTCTCATGGGATATTACACCCCCAAGAACCTATTGATTGCTTAAGGCCATAGGCATTAATATCGCTATATTGTGATATTTCTGCCCTTCCATTTACCTCCATTCCCTTCTCCCCACAGAAATCTTGGTATAGTTATACATTAATTCCAATGAGAATTAATTAAAGGTAAACAACCCTTCTTCTAGGACAGTGATCCCCAAATGGATGTCCTTCAGATGTTTTGGATTATTATTCAGCAGAGCCCTTCTGCAAATGGAAGGAGCCATTTTCTATTCGTTTTCTTATATTTTCCCCCCTTAGGTTTGTACAAATTTCTCTTTTATGTTCTCCTGCCACACATATGCTCTATTGTGTGTGTGTGTTGTGTTTTTGTTTGTGTGTGTTGCTTTTTCCTCTCTTTTAGAAGATATCTGAAGGCAGCCCTGCTTAGGGAAGCTTTTGATGTTGAATAGATTATTGTACTTTAATATTTTGTTGGAAGCCTCCCAGAGTGGCTGGGGAAACCCAGCCAGATGGGCTGGGTATAATTATTATTATTATTATTATTATTATTATTATTATTATTATTATTCCAAGCTCCAGCTTTAATTCACTTGGTTAAAGCTTCATGCTCCTTTCTTCAGCATCAGGGTACCTGTGATTCATTCTGTGAATTCTTGCTCTCTTGCATTATTAATATTTTTATAAAGTTTTTCTCCCTTCCCTCTATACATCTGGTACCCCCCCTCCACTCAACCGAACCTGCCTATCAATCAAGGAAGCTCTCAGCTGTGATGCTCATTGGCAGCCTATTATTACTCCTTTCCCCTGGGGTATCTCTTTACAGTGGTGCCTCGCAAGACGAAATTAATCCGTTCCGCGAGTCTCTTCGTCTTGCGGTTTTTTTGTCTTGCGAAGCACGGCTATTAGCGGCTTAGCAGCTTAGCGGCTATTAGCGGCTTAGTGGCTATTAACGGCTTAGCAGCTTAGCGGCTATTAACGGCTTAGTGGCTTTAAGAAAAAGGAAACAAACTCGCAAGAACTCGCAAGATGTTTCGTCTTGCGAAGCAAGCCCATAGGGAAATTCGTCTTGTGGAATGACTCAAAAAACGGAAAACTCTTTCGTCTAGCAAGTTTTTTGTCTTGCGAGGCATTCGTCTTGCGGGGCACCACTGTACACATCACCAGTTTTTGGAATGATTCCCCACAAAACTCTAGGTTAACCTAGTTGGGGCTGGGAGGATGACCCTTTTCTGAACCCTGGAGAGCTGCTGCCAGTGTAGACAGTTGTGAGCTAGATGGCCTGACTTAGTGTAAGGCACCTTCCTCCTTTCCATAGGGTTCTGTTTCTAGTCTCCCTATTCCCTCCCTCTCCCACAATAGTTCTAATGTTAGGGCTTATCTACTCTTCTTTTTGTTGGGCCTTGTACAAGCAGTTTGCCTCTTTCTAGGCATGGGTCTGAACAGTTTTGCCTTTGTCCCAATTGCTCGCCCCTGGAAAAATCTGTTCTTTAGTGCTATACCAGAACAAACTGCAATCTGCAGAAAACCCTATTGTTCTTTGTTCCGATTCAGCACTAAAAAAATTGGGTTTCCCCAGGGGGAAGGTGGCAAAGCAAAAGGAGGTGTGTATAAGCCACAAGTCTGCTTCTTTCTCAATTTGCATAAGAGTGGAGGCAAATCTATTCAAAATGAATTTACTCATGGCATTCGGTGGTTCCGACTCTATCAAGTTTTGCTTGTCTTGGACCATCTCTTAATATCAAGTGTCCACTTGCACCCAAAATACTTCTGCATTGTCATTTTTAAATACCCACCCCTTAAGACTAATTATATGGCAAGGTATACACAAAAATCAATACATTACACACATAATACAAATAATATGCTGTGCTATATTTATTATTCATAACTGAATAAACATATTGATGCCTAATTTTTTCACATAGCTATAGATATTGTTGTATATAATTTTTGTGCTGTTTTTATAGTGTGTGTGTGTGTGTGTGTGTAATATACAGTATACATAATGTCATTCATATAAAAATATTTGTAACAATGCATATACTTTTCAGGATTTGTTTGTATTTTTAGCAGAGCTAGGAGGAAAAACCTCACTTGCTTTCCCTTCTGCAGTGACCAAAGGCAGATTATCACATACTCCATATCAAGCCCGTCGGTGTGCCTGCAACCAAGAAGTACCTGATTCAGCGGAACATATTCTCTTAGATTGCTCTCTACACAGTAGACCTCGCCAACTGATGCTGAGCAAAATGTTGACGCTCTGGCCTATAACTCCAAGAAGAAGCCAAACGAGGTTTTTCCTGGCAGATCGGGACAAAGATACCACTGCTTTAGTAGCTTCCTTTTTAGCCATAATTTTACCTGAAAGGGTTCCTAACGAACCATCCTTTCAGGGAACAGACAGGGTGAAGCAGAATGTATAAGTGCACACGATCACAGTGTCACCTTATGATCTTCGATTCAGGTAGGTAGTCATGTTGGTCTAAGGCAGCCAAAATAGATACCTGAAGAAGTTTGCATGCACACGAAAGCTTATACCAAGAACAAACTTAAGAGCCAGTGTGGTGTAGTGGTTAAGAGCGGTAGTCTCGTAATCTGGGGAACCGGGTTCGCGTCTCCGCTCCTCCACATGCAGCTGCTGGGTGACCTTGGGCCAGTCACACTTCTTTGAAGTCTCTCAGCCCCACTCACCTCACAAAGTGTTTGTTGTGGAGCAGGAAGGGAAAGGAGAATGTTAGCCGCTTTGAGACTCCTGAAGGGGAGTGAAAGGCGGGATATCAAATCCAAACTCTTCTTCTCTTCTTCTTCTTCTCTAAGGTGCTACTGGACATTTTTTTAAAAAAAATATATTTCTTATGATCTTCAACAGCTTCACCCTTGTACTTTTAATTATCCCAGTGATTTTAAATGTTTTATACGGTGATGCCAAAAAAGGTATTTGATTTGAACCTCACTTCTCATTGAGATTAATGAGAGAAATAGGAATGAGGAGTAATCCATATGCATAATTCCATCAGTAATTTGAACTTCACCAATTCTTCCCTTTGGAATGCATTTTAAATGCCTTCTTTCAGGGTCCACCTCTTTTTATGGATTGCACTCCTGACAGCCTCTTTCACTTCTGTGTTCCTTATGGTATATATGAAGGGATTCAACATTGGGGTGAGGATAGTGTTCAAGACTGCTACAACCCTAGTTCCTGGGGATGGGTGCAGGACGCTGGGCCTCACATACACAAAGATGAGAGCACCGTACAAAATAGACACCACAATCAGATGAGACACACAGGTGGAGAATGCCTTCTTGCGCCCTAAAGCAGAGGGTATGCGAAGTATGGTTGAGATAATAAAGACATAAGACAGAATGTTTAAAGAGAAGGTTGAGAGAATAAATAGGATGGAGCTCAACAGTTCCAGCAACTGACTGGGGGTGGTATCAGCACAAGCTATGCTTAGCATGGGGCCAAAATCACAGTAGAAGTGGTCAATGACATTAGAACTGCAGAACGGCAATGTCCACAAGATGGGTAGCTGAAAAATCATAATAATAAATCCCCCATACCAGGTGGCCAGGGACATTTGAATACAAACATTGTTGGTCATAATCATCGGGTACCGAAGTGGCTTGCATATGGCTAAATAGCGGTCAAATGACATGGCTGTGATGATAAAAAGCTCCGTAGTTCCCAGCGTGAAGTGGAAGAAGTTCTGGGCCATACAACAATAGAAGCAAATAGTGGTCCGTGTTTCTAAAAGGGCCTGCAGCAACTTAGGTACAACTGTAGTGGTGTAGCACATCTCCAGAAAGGCAAGGTTGCTCAAGAAGATGTACATTGGTGTCTGAAGCCTTGGTATGAAGGCCACAATGATGGGGATGCAGCCATTCCCAATGATGGCTATGATATACATGAATAAACCCACCACGAAGAAGATTCTGTGAAGATCAGGTAGTAAAGGAAACCCCAGAAGGATAAATTCAGTCACTGTTGATGTATTCATCACTGGAAATTACCATCAAATAATCCTCAGATGTGTCTTGGAGGACATCCCAAATGTCCATGTATAGGAAGGACCCTGAGTTCCCATCTAGGAGAAGGACAACTCTGATCCTAAACCCCCATTGCCTTGCAGGATACCTTCAGGAGCAGAAAATACTAAGGAGAAAACACCACACAAACCCAGAGTGGAGTCCCTAAAATGGTTGGGTGGCACCTTGTACATCATCTTCTGGCAACTTGTGCAGGCATCTGGTGCCAAACGTATCACTCTGCTTTCCTTTGGACCACATCAGTGAGGCTGAGAAGGGGGTCTTGTCATCTGGGCAGTCCAGGACCTCCATACACACTGCCTAAACTTGTGCTCCATGGAGGTCACTTTGGTGCAGCTAACACAGTGATAGATGGATGCAAGCAAGCAACAAGCTTATATAGAATTAGACTGCCTACGGATGCTGGGTGGTGGGTGGGTGGTAATGGCATATCTGTAGTGGAAGTTCTTTATTATTATATATTAAAAAAACCTAACTATGAACCACCAGTTAAAAGTCATTTAAACGGAGGATGATCAAAATAGCAGTAGAACTTCTAAAATCAATTCAATGTGATTCATTTTAATTAAATCTCGAAAGGAGCATTAGAAAGAAGGGAAAGAATGAACAAATGAACTCATGAAGGAAAGCTTCCTTGGAAGTACCAGCAGTATATATCAAGCAAAATTGTAGATTTATTGGACTTTCAAAGATGCAGCAGCTTGAGATGTTATTGTTTTCATATTTAGACAGCAGACTTTTTGACTAGGGAAACATAGAAGAGAAAGAAAGAAAGAAAGAAAGAAAGAAAGAAAGAAAGAAAGAAAGAAAGAAAGAAAGAAAGAAAGAAAGACTGTTAACCAAATAATTAAGAACATTTTAAGCAAATTTGTTGCTTATGGATACCTTATGGTTTGCTTTGGAAGTACAGGATATAAATTTAGTAGATACACAAATAATAAATATCCAGTTATATAATTTACAACGCCTTAAAACAGTGGTGGGGAATGTCCCTTTTACAACCATATTTGATGTTTATGGTCTGTAGACCAAATAAAGTGACAACTTCTGTCATCCCTGGCTATTGGTAATGCTGGGTGGTGGAGAGTAACCTGAGTCTAGGTTACTTGCTAAAAACACTTGTAGACACAAGGGAAGTTAAAAAGACATTTTCAACAATTAAGGAGATATTTGGGGTTAAGGCCATGACATTGAATTTACACCAAAAGTTTTGAAGTTCTCTGACACTTTTCGTGTTAGTGAAATATTCACATGATTTGCATACACTGAAAATATCACTACTTATTGTTAGGTGGATTATTTTAATAATGGGAAATTCCTCATGTTTTTGAATTAGGAGAAGAAATGTGCTGCAAAAGAAGGAAAAATACAATGCAACCAGCCATTAACGAATAAATAAATGGAAAAAGAATTGATAACCAAAACACTAAAGGCAACCTTCAGCAAATTTCAAATGGGCTTCCACACTGACATTTTGTAAAATTAGCCACACTTAAATAATTGCGATTCCACTCACCCCTAAGTGTTTTTGCTGTACATCTTCCATTTTCTGTTTTTAGAGACATTTTGGATGGGGATAAATGATTCAAATGCAGGTTTTTCCTAAAATGTTTGAATGTTACCGTTTGTACAGTCTGTCCTTCTTGACAACTTATCCAGAATATACATTCTCTTCTATCAAGGACAGCTTTGGTTGGGGGTTATTTGCTCACTTTTGTCTTCCAAGCAATTGATTGTTCCATTTGTCCACTTTCTAACAAGAAGCACTTGTCCAAATCTCTGAACATGGGACTTAAAATACATTTTATTAAGTATGTCTTGGAACACAGGAGTCTTCATGTTTCTCAAGGGACATGGCAAACTTCCAATAATGCAGGGTTCTCCAATGGCTATTAACAAGATTCATTAACAGGTAGAAAGTTTTCTGCAGATTGAACTTTGCAAACTCACATGAGAAAGGCAGATGGGAAGGGGGCTTACTCATCTGCTGAATACCCATTTGGGGAATTTCAAGACTTCCTTAATAAAGGCCAACTAATACTTTAGAACAGCTTTCCCAGACCTGGTCCCCTTGGCTATGTCTCCCATTATCCCTGATCATCAGCCATGCTGACTGGGGCTGTTGAAAGTTGTAGTGCAAAACATCTGGAAAGCACCTGTTTGTTGAGTGAGATGATTTAGATGAAGAAAGAACAAACAATAGAAAACTAATTACCTATGGTAATTCCCACCTGGATAAAATAGAAGACTTATGGAAGCAGTGTTCGGTCACAAATCGCTGCAGTGAATTTGTGTCAGGATTTTCACTTTTTGAAATATGGCAACCCTAATGAAAGGGGACATTTTAGGGGCATGGTGGGACCATAGAGAAGGGGAGGTTTTCCACCAATGCTATTTTCACCCACCAGCCCCTGAGTTAATTAGTAGCAATAAGGTTTAGTTTTCAGAGCTGTTGTTTCTTTTTATAAAAACAATCCATAGGTCATGACTAAATAAAAGTTCACCTTCATGATTTAATAAGGATCTTTCAACAAATCATGTTGTCCCATAATTCTATCCAACAACAAGCAACAATTGAATAACTTGGGTCGCACAAACACACACATTCTTTAATCAGTTTACATACATTTGCACTGCACTGTTCAAGTCTAAAAGGTTTTTCAGATCATACAAAAATATAAAAACAGATTTAAAATAAATGTCATCACTTTAGAGCATGAAACAATAGAAGATTAGTAACTCTCAGTGTTAAAACTCCTTGAAGACTTCACTTGGTAACATGAACCAAACATCAGAATATTGGTGTGGGACTGAAATTCTAAGGAGATGTTGATTGATGTTTTAAGTGTTTGTTTGTTTGTTTGTTTGTTTGTTTGTTTGTTTGTTTAGGGCAGCCTTCTTCTTGCCCTAGTGAGCAACCTGGCTGCTAAATTCTGTACCAGCTGAAGTTTCTGAGCTGTCTTCAGAGGCAGTTGCGCATATAATGTATAGCAGTAATGTAACCTAGAGGCTTCCAGAGCAGACAACAGAAGTTAGGCTGGGCCACCAGCCGAAGCTGATGGAAGGCACTCCAAGCCACTGAGGCTGCCTGAGTTTCAAGCAACAGCAATGGATCCAGGAGTACAGCCAAACAGAATGCTAGTTCTGCTTAGAGTACACCCACTGAAGTTAATGAATCTAAGTTAGTCATGTTCATTAACCTTAATGGGTCTCCTCTTAGTAGAACTAGCCTTGGATACAACCCAATAATAACAACGACATAATAGCACAACCATTGGCAATCATAGTTAGTAACAACTGTAATATGGCTGGCATTAGTGAAAATCATAGAATCATAGAATCATAGAGTTGGAAGAGACCACAAGGGCCATCGAGTCCAACCCCCTGCCAAGCAGGAAACACCATCAGAGCACTCCTGACATATGGTTGTCAAGCCTCTGCTTAAAGACCTCCAAAGTAGGAGACTCCACCACACTCCTGGGCAGCAAATTCCACTGTCGAACAGCTCTTACTGTCAGGAAGTTCTTCCTAATGTTTAGGTGGAATCTTCTTTCTTGTAGTTTGGATCCATTGCTCCATGTCCGCTTCTCTGGAGCAGCAGAAAACAACCTTTCTCCCTCCCACCAGTATGGTGTAGTGGTTAAGAGCGGTAGTCTTGTTATCTGGGGAACCGGGTTCGCGTCTCCGCTCCTCCACTTGCAGCTGCTGGGTGACCTTGGGCCAGTCACACTTCTTTGAAGTCTCTCAGCCCCACTCACCTCACAGAGTGTTTGTTGTGGGGGAGGAAGGGAAAGGAGAATGTTAGCCGCTTTGAGACTCCTTAAAAGGGAGTGAAAGGCGGGATATCAAATCCAAACTCTTCTTCTTCTTCTTCTTCTCTATGTGACATCCTTTTATATATTTGAACATGGCTATCATATCACCCCTTAACCTCCTCTTCTCCAGGCTAAACATGCCCAGCTCCCTTAGCTGTTCCTCATAAGGCATCTTTTCCAGGCCTTTGACCATTTTGGTTGCCCTCCTCTGGACACGTTCCAGTTTGTCAGTGTCCTTCTTGAACTGTGGTGCCCAGAACTGGACACAGTACTCCAGGTGAGGTCTGACCAGATCTATACTGCAGCAAATTCTATTATAATATTACCATTATTGTGCATTATATTTTTGAACATACCCTACAGTGTGCCTTTAACACTAAGCCAAGATTTTCTTTGCCCCTAGCATTGCACTCATCATCCATGTCAAATACTAATGTCTCAATCTTCAGGATTCTCACAAGACAACTTTTACCAGCCAGTTTTTTGAAGCACATTTTAAAAATCATTTTTTGAGGGCCGCACTCTTTTTATGGATAGCACTCCTGACAGCAGCTTTCACGTCTGCATTCCTTATTGTATATATGAAAGGATTTAGCATTGGAATGAGGACAGTGTTCAAAACTGCTACTACTCTGCTCAGGCGAGATTGGGCAAGGACATTGGACCTGACATAAATGAAGATCAAGGCTCCATACAGTATAGAAACAACAATCAGGTGAGATGTACAGGTGGAGAATGCTTTCTTGCGACCCCTGACTGAAGGTATCCGAAGGATAGAGGAAATGATGAAGATGTAGGACACTGTGTTGAAGATCAAGGTCATGATGACAAACACAATGGAACTGATAAATCCCAGTAACTGACTGACGCTGGTGTCAGAACAGGCTAGTTTTAACAACGGGCCAAAATCACAGTAGAAGTGGTCAATGATATTGGACTTACAGTAAGGCAACGTCCACATAATAGCACACTGAAGAAACATAATGATGAATGATCCATACCAGGTAGCCAAGGACATCTGAATACAAACATTCTTGGTCATAATCATGGGGTACTGAAGAGGCTTGCATATGGCCAAATAGCGGTCAAAGGACATCACCGTGAGGATTAAAAGCTCTGTACCACCAAAAATAAAATGGAACAGATTCTGAGTCATGCAGCAATAGAAACAAATAGTGGTTTGTGCTTTTATTAGTGTTTGTAGTAACTTAGGGACAACTGTTGTGGAGTAGCAGATCTCCAGAAAAGCAAGATTGCTCAGGAATTTGTACATCGGTGTCTGAAGCTTTTGTTCAATGACTACAATGATGGGGATGAACCCATTTCCTAGTATAGTTATAATGTACATACATAAACCTACTACAAAGAAGATACTGTGTAGCTCATGGAAGAAAGGAATTCCCAGTAGAATAAATTCATCTACCGTTGAGGTATTTGATATGGTCATCACAGCAGAACAACTCCAATAATCCTTTGAGGCGGTTCAAAGTATGTCCAAAACTTCACACACACACACACACACACATAATGATTTTTTCCAGATTGACAGAATTAAACTGGCCTAGGCTGCAAAAGAAGACAAATGGAAAGCCACGTGAAGAGTCAAAAATAGTAAACTATGGAGAAAATAGCGATTCATCCTGAATATAATAGGCAGAAACACTGAAGGAAAATAAACTTACCATCAATGAAGATAGATCCTTATGGAATTTTGTTTTAAAGTTCTGTCATCACTTTTACGCCATCAGCTAAGAAATCCTCTATCATTTTTCCTGGTTATTCAACGATAGCTCATGGTAGCTCCTTTTTCATGGTGTTGGAAGTCTTGGCAGGTCTTTCCCTACAATCCCCAACAAAAATGCCTCGAGTTTTTTAACAAATGTTAAAAACAAAAGTTGAAAAACATCTTCATGTATGCGACAACAGCCGCGAGAGTTCTGGTAGCACAAGGATGGAAGACTGAAGAAACTCTGATTAAAGAATCATGGCAAGAAAAATTGATGGACTATGCAGAACTGGCAAAACTGACACATAAACTACGAAATAAGGATAACTGTGACTTTAAGGATGAATGGGAACCTTTCACAAAGTATTTGAAGATGCAACAAAGCGAACTGGACTCCTTGACAGGTTTTGAATAAACATTCACAATTTTTTTACTGATAATAATAAGCTAAACAGTTGGAGGATCTATACAACTCTGTAACATGCAGAAAATAGCAGTACTGGAGAAACCAAAGACTGGAACTGAGGGAAGTCGGGGGGTGGGGTGGGGGGATGGGTTTTATGGGGGGAGGAAAAATGGGGGGGAATAAGGATATGTTTTTGGAAAATATGTTTTGTTATAATTTTGAATAATTTTTTTTTTTTAAAAAAAGGAAGTCTTTAGTAGTGCATAACACTTTATGAATAACCAGGACAGTATATGCAATATACTAGAAATGTCACTACTCTACTTATTTTTAAAAGATTTATTACATGTCTACTCCACTTGTGGGAAAGAATGTCTCATGATTCTGGAGATGAAAGCAATTGAGAGATACAAAATAAAGGAAAGTCTTCAACACATTCAACAGGCTGAAACTCTGTAAGAATAACACCCGCTGCGATGCCTCTTGGCTTTTTTAGACCCCATCTTGCACCTATTTTCACCATCACATGACAAAGTTGTGTTCTACATGAATGCTTCAACTTGATTAAATTGCTATGATAACACAATGCTTATCCTTACTACGGTTCCACAGGAATAGAGAATCTTCATTAGAAAGGACGGCTTTTGAGCAGGTCATTTATTTTCTTTGATCTTCCAAGCAACCAATTTGTCCATGTGCCAAGCATTTCTCATGAGAGGCTATTTCGTCAAGTCTCTCAACATAGTATAACACATGGTTTTGTTGGATGTGCATGATTTCTCATGAGAATGATGTCCAAGAGGGAAGGGTTGTCTCATGAGTATTCTCACTATTTATGAATCTAGATCAAACTAGAGTTATGTAGAGTTTTCTCTAGATAAAATATGTCAGGCAGAAGCCTGGTGAAGCTGGATTGTGTGTGCATGTGTGCGTTTCTGTATTCTTCAGATGGGCAAATATCCATATTTGGAATCTCAGCTGGCTTAATAAACAACCATCTACAGTTTGACATAATATTCAGAATGCCTAAAATGTGAAGTTGATCATGTTGGTTCATAAGAGTGTGTGGAGAAGAGAGTCCACAGCTCGTCACTATCTTTAGTAGACACAAGCAAAATGTCATCAAGCTGTAAGAAACGTTTGAGATCTCAACATATTTTCGTCAGACAAGATGTTGCATGTTCAGACCTTTAAACCTCCCCCTTAAATAAATTCAGACAAGACTCAAATTTTGGTTTGGTTTTTGGCAGAATTTAGGCCACACTTTATTGATTACAGCAAGTGAGTGGTTGCATAGTCTCTGGTTCGACTAGCTCTCTGCACCGTTGCAGATAGCACTGACCCAAGGCACCAGCATAGGTGAGTCTAGGGTGAAAACCCGGATAGGCGGAAAGCTGGGAACAGGCTATGTCCACCACCCAGATGTCCACCTGGACTCTGGCACAGGCACAACCCCCTCACAGGGTTGACTAAACCACTGAGTCCCTGGATTCCTTTAATGAAATACCCTTCACATAGGGATGGTGGGAGCATTCCCCCATCCCTATCACCTGAACCAGAGCCTTTCCACAACCTTACAAGCTGTGATGATTTGCTACGTGGCAGGCAAAACCCAAATGGCACCAGCCAATCAGCCAAGTGGGGAAATTCCTGCAGTGCCCCTGTCCCAACGATAGACGACAGACGACGGCATAACAAGGTCAAGCACACAGCCATGGAAAATAGGGAGAGGTGGGCGGGTGTTCTGATGCACGCACCGAAGGAGGAAGCTCTGGGTCATGTGCATAGGTATATATATATATATAGTCCCTTGATCCGTTTTGGCTGCCTCCCATTGGCCTGATCAAACCCTGCATCAAGGGACCTACCAATCGGGTGTTGTGGCTATCCAATGGTACCCACCCACAACACAGGGTTTGGTTGCCAGGCCTCACTGCAACACGTGCCCTCTTTAAGGGAGGACCCGATTTACACAAAGTGTCTGTTAGGGGAATTAAAAGAAATGTGGCTCTGCCCCACCACACTGACGGCTACTGATAACCCCAGTCTGAAACCCTGGAGAGCTGCAGCCAGTGTAGACAATGCTGATCTCAATAGACCTGTGGTCTGACTCATCTTCCAACATCCCTATCAAGTGTTTGATGGTTTAATAAGGGCCATAAGAGAAATCATGAATACTGCCTTTTTCAGCTGGTCCTTTCCCTCCCTCTTTTCGGCAAGACTGTATGCCTGTTAAATATTCGATCATATGAAATTCACCCTAGTGTACAACTTACAGAGGTGGGCTATATAAACATCAGAACAAGACTGCATCAGGTGTGTGTGTGTGGTTTTTCTTGTCTAAGATCTGGAAACACAGAATGATCCAAGGAAACCATTGTTCTCAGAAGTGTATATGGACAACATAAGGCCACACTTGGGCAAAACTAAACATTTCATTCGTTTAAATAGGAGGAATTCAATAAGGGGTTTAACTTCCCCATTTGCAAAAATCAATCAATTTCCTATTTTTGCAATCCTAGTTTTGTACACATTATCACTTACTTCTTGTTCACATTGTACTTAAGTCAGGTCTGTTCATCTGAAACAGCTGTTGTGCATGCATAGGTGAGCATCTATGTGCAGAAGGCAGTTTCGTGAATAGGAGTTCAAGCATGGGAGTGTGTGTGTGTGTGGCAAAGATAGGGAAACTAAACAGGCAATGCATGTTGGGTGAAGATATCTTCACTCCATCTTGGATGTGTACATGAAAATGCAGCTTGAAAGAGACCTCGCTGTATTTTAAGCCTCTAAAATGTATATACTGAATACAGAGGGTCTTAGAGTACACAAAGAGCAGCCACAGTGGCTTGCAGTAGTAACTGACAATTCCAATAGCAAAGCCACAAGTTTGAAGGAATTAAATGGTATTCACTAAATGACATGTACACAAAGGTGCAAATCATTCCACAAATGAAAGGAAACTGCTTGGCATTTGTGCATGATGTAAAAAACTGACCTTAATAAACAATTAACAACAACAACACACTGCCATTTTGAAAATTCACTGTAGCTCTAACCATGCCTACTCAGATGTTATTCACATGGAATGTAGTGAGGCTTGCTCCCAGGTAAATGGGGTTGGGATTGCACTTCAATATTATATGTGCCCCAAATACATCATCCAAAAAATATTTCTCAGAATCCTCCTCGAAAAAGGTAACCCACAGCTCACCTTCTCTTTCACTGGAAAAGTTAGTAGCAGCACAAAGTAAGTTAAAAGGTAAAGGAACCCTGGACAGTTAAGTTCAGTCAAAGGCGACTATGGGATGGGGTACTCATCTTGTTTTCAGGCCGAGGGAGCTGGTGTTCGTAGTAGTACTATTTTTTAATTGAACTTATATACTGCCCTATACTCAGAAGGTCTCAGGGTGGTTCACAGAGCAAAATCAACATAAAAACCACCATATATATAATCAATATGAAAACAACAACCCAATAACCCCTCGACAAAAAAACCAAACAAACACATTTTAAAAGGGCATAGTCTGTCAGTCAGATCAACCAAAGGCTGATGAAAAAAGGAACATATTTGCCTGGCACCTAAAGGTGTATAATGAAGGTTCCAGGTGAACTTCCCTGGGGAGAGTATTCCATAGATGGGGGGCCACTACAGAGAAGGCCCTCCGTTCTTGTGCTACTAGTAGCAATAGGTAGGAAGCATCACACTTGCAATTTTAAACACATTTTTTCAAGAACTTCTTTAAGGAACTCTGTCTTCTTCAATATCACACTCCTGGGAGCCTCTTTCACTTCCATGTTCAGCATTGGCACGAGGGCAATGTTTAAGACTGCCACCATCCAGCTTATGCAGGACAAGGGATGAACATTGGGTCTCACATACATGAAGAGACCAAATCTCTCTCTCTCTCTCTCTCTCTCTCTCTCTCTCTCTCTCTCTCTCTCTCTCATCCTGGCTATTTTTCCTAGGAATAGCTGTACTGGCAAATCAGCTCTATAACATACTATATTTGATGGAAACCAGCTCTTAACCCTAACCTGCTTAATCCGAATTGTTAAAAGCTAGGCCAAACAAGAATTTGAGGGCTTCTGGAGTATTTTGATGTGTCTGTAACAAAGGGGTGTTCTAGAGAAGTGGAGCTGACAATGCAAAACCTTGCATTATATTGATTGTGAGTCAAACAGATAGCTTACTAAATGCTGGGTGCTGCGTATACAGCATATTTAAAGCACATGGCATCTCCCCTCTACATCCTGAGAACTGTAGTTTGTTAAGGGTTCTGGGAATTATAGCTCTGTGAGGTGTAACACTTTAATGGAAGTCATGTGCTTTAAATGTATGGTAGTCCTGTATGTTCTTAAATCTCATGGTATACTGTAACTCCTAAAATGTACAGTCCTATGCATGTCCAGTGAAATAAGTTCAATTGAGATCAGTTGTACATATTCCCAGGTAAATGTGTTTAAACTGATGCTCCAAAGGTGTTAACCTCCAAAGTCCAAAAGAGTATTCCCAGTCCTTAACTTCCTTACATGGGAAGAAATGGCACACAAGCCTGAATCAGGAAACCACCTCCTTAGAGCAAAATGTCCTGCTTAGGGCTTCCCTCAAAACTTCTTTGACCTTCTCATTCCTGAGGCTGTATATGAAAGGGTTCAAAAGAGGAGTCACCACTGTGGTCAGGATGGCAGCAACCTTATCAAGAGCCAGAGAGTAGCTTTGATTTGGACGGACATACATAAAGATGGAACTCCCATAAGCGATGGTGACCACAGTGATGTGAGAGGCGCAGGTGGAGAAGGCCTTTTGCCTCCCTTGGACAGATGGGATTTTCAGGATGGTGGAGATGATATAGCTGTAAGAGACCACAGTGAGCACCAATGAGCTGAGGACCACCAAGGAAGACAGAAGGAAGTTAAGGAGCTCAATGAAGTGAGTGTCTACACAGGCTACTTCCAGCAGAGGTGCAATGTCGCAAAAGAAGTGGTTGATGTTGTGGCGGCAGTATGGAAGTCTGGAGACAACAACTGTAGGGCAAAGAACTGAGAGGAAAGCCCCTACCCAACAGCCCAGAACCAGAAGGAAGCACACATGTTCATTCATAATGATGGTGTACCTTAATGGATGACATATGGCCACGTACCGATCAAAGGACATGACTGCTAAGAGGATAAACTCCACCGTTCCCAGGAAGAAATAAAAATATGTCTGAGTGATGCAGCCTGTGAACAAAATGGTTTTCTTTTCAGCCAGGAGGCTGGACAGCATTTTGGGGGCAATCACGGTAGTGAATAGGATGTCTAGAAAAGACAAATTACTGAGGAAGAAGTACATAGGAGTGTGGAGTCGCAGGTCAGTCCATATAATGGAGAGGATGACCACATTTCCCATGAGGGTGAGCAGGTATGTGAAAAGCAGGACCACAAAGGAGAAGATCTGAACCTCACGGTGGGCTGGGAAAGACAGGAAAACAAATTCCTTCACTGATGACTGGTTGTTGGTCTCTGGATCCATTCTTTGCCCTCTGCAATGGAACATACTTTTTAAACAACAACAAACTGAAGCTGAGCTCTTGCTGCATCATCAGAACCACATGTTATTCTAGCAAATATATTTTAAGACCTTCATTTGATGAACACAGCTGATAAAGGTAGTTGCCCCCAGGAATGCTCATGCACAATTTTTTTTTGTTAGTCTTCTAAGGCTGTTTAGCCTTTTCATAGAATCATAGAAACATAGAGATGGAAAGGACTCTGGTGGTCATCTAGTCCAAGCCCCTGTAATACAGGAATCCTGCTCACAGCCATTCCTGGATGGACTCGAACCACCAACCTTCTGGTTAGCAGGCAGTTTTTACTGAATACTATTTAGAAAACAACTCACCTTAGTAGGACTGACTGACATCCTACTAAGCTGACGTGGCTCTCCTTGGCTTGTTGATTGATGTGATCAGCTTCAAACTTAGTAAGTCATGATGACTGCTAGTAAATGAGTGGTGCTAACAAAAGATTCAGAGAAGCTTCTTAGAGTCCCATAGATTCACAAATGGAAAAAGGATCGAGAAAAAGGGGAAGCAGAGAGATGAACATCTTCCACTTTGTTAGATATTTTAAATGCTGCTATTTCTAAATGGAGTGAAACCCCCCTTTTCTTTCGCATTTGTTTTGGACCCTCTCATGTGACTCAAGGAGACACTTCTCTCACACACCCCAATATTTAATGGGAACTAGGTGTCCTTTTAATGGTATTTTCCATACTGCTCAAAACTGGATGTTCAAATGCTTCCTTAATTTAACTTGAATTTAATTTATATATTGTATCGCTTTTTTCTGCTTTTTAAAAAAGGGTTGTGATGCCCCTCAGAAATTATGGTTAAAAGTCAGGTTATCAATGCATTGATAAATAAATACATACTAATAGGCTGGAACAGCGGAGGCATAAACAATAGATATGAAGTATTTTTTGGTTTTGGTTTTACAATCAAATGGTAAATAAATTTTAAGAAATAAAATAACCAAGTAATACCAGGTTGCCTTAGATGTAGTTGGCTCTACCAATTAAATCTGAAGCAAAACATCCAGATAACTTTGAGGGACAAGAGCTTTCAATGCAAATAATATCCACCCTAAAAGTAACTAAGGATCTTGATTTTTTTTTTGAAGTACGGATAAGTTATCTCCAGTTAGTCAGTAATTACGAAATATTGAGTTTAAGAGTTGCTTTCTTGTCTAAGTCACTTCTCTCTCTTCAAATTGTCCATTCAGACACAAACATCCACTCTCAGTGGTTTTGGAACTGTCAAGTGCATCTTAGGGCAATTTCAGATTCTTGTCAAACCCAAGAGACTTAAAAACCTTAAGAGCTTTCATAATCATCAAGGGGCCAATTTGTGGGAGATTTCTAGCTCTCAGAGCTTTTTCAATAGCATAAGTATTCAAGATGGAAATATAGTGAAGACTTTCTCTGTTCCACAAAGCAGAAAATTAATGCAGAAATTAATCAACAAGGGCATGTTATCTGTGAAGGATCAACTCTTTTGAAGAAGAAAACAAACTCATCCAAAGTACAATTAACTCTTTTGATGATTTATTTTTTTACCTTATTTATTTCATAAAAGAAAAAACCCCAAAGCAGCTAAAATACTTTATAGAGGATTAGAGGACTTTCTTTGCAATCTCATTAGCTTCCAATTTTTGCTGATCTTTGCCTATATGCTCTATTTACAGGATAAGGACTAAAAACCCATTCAGACATTCCCATAATGTGAAGAATTTCATAAGTTAAGGCAGGCACCATCAAACACCTCTGATGTCATTGTCTGACATCCTCATTGCTATTAGCTTTTAGGAATCACCTGGTGAATTCTGATCTGATCTTGTAGGCTTTTACTACTAATCAGGAAATACACAAATGCACACATTTTCTAGTTTTCTTGCTGCAATATACACACCATGAATTAGAGAAGCATCATTTAATACTTTGGAATTGACTTGTGGCAAACCTGCCCAAATATCCCATGACCACATTAGACTACACAAGTCATCATATCGAACACTGAAGCCTTGCCAGGGCCACCCTATGGCTATGTTACAACTGTCACATTCACACAAGCACACCCTTAGTGTGGGGGGTAAACTGCAACATTCTATAAAAGATTTGCATTTTTTTATTTTATTCATTTACAGCATTTACACCCTACCCTTTAGTTTTAAAAAATGTTTTCAGAGCAGGTTACAGAGTAAGTTCTAAGATGGTTCCTCCATTAGGTTCACAAACTAAAAAGACATGACACATAAGGAAACAGGAAAGGGGAGGGAGGCAATAGAATCTAGCTCAAGTACAATTCCTTAAAGTTATAGTCCTTAATGTTACATCTGGTGTTGGTGATCATTCCAGTTGTCTTTCCCTTGATAAAGAGCAATCCATCTCTGGAAGCATATATACCTCTCCTTCTAGATAAGATTTAGGAGGTGACAACTTCCAGGCATTTCCTGTCACACAGATCTTCCCTTATTCATGTCATTTCATGGAAAAGAATTCAACCTAATATGTTCTATTTTATTTATTTCACTTAAAAAAAAAAGTTGTAAAAAATGCATGAAAACAACCATAGCACAAAAGTAAATAATCATTCACAATAAGAAAGCCAAAGTTGAATTTGCCCACAGTCGTATATGTTTTGTGTGTGACATGATCTATCAATAAAGAAGTAAAAATGCTTTAGGTGATCTTTGTAGGCCATTCTTTCCATTCATCTTCCAAAGAATGCAACAATACTGGTAATTTGACAATCCAACACAATTTGATGATTTCTTTTTTTAAAAAAATAAATAAATCCAACTGTACATGAAAATTCGAACTATTCCTTACGCTTCTGCCACAAATTTATTCTGCCCACATTTTGTCAGCTCCCAACATCTTTGATTTCTCACCCAGTTTCAAAACATCTCTATAAAGTAAGTCCCCATTTCATGAAAAGGGACCATGCTGAGCTATGAGTGAGTTGCCCAATGCCACCTAACTGAGTTCATAGTCACAGTGGGTATGTATATGAAGGTGCTAAGATCTAATGTCCCATTTCTCTGGCATAGCACATGTGTATCCCCCCCACCCAGTAATAGTATATTCCCTAAACCTCAGGTGCCTACTGTTCATTATCCATTTCTTGTCCATTATAAACTGACACCTCCATACCTGGGGAAAATAGCACAAGTATCTGGGTTGATCAGATGTGATTTCTGAGTTCTGTACATCTCCCAGTGAAAAGTTCCACTAGACCCAATCCCATCCACATTATGCATAATCCTCCTTTCATTTACCATTTGTTGTCCTCAAATACTTTATTCCTGGTGAATCCCTTTTTCAGGGCATCTTTCACTTCCTTGTTCCTGAGTGTATATATGAAAGGGTTCAGCAGTGGAGTGACTAGGGTGTTTAGGAGGGATACCAGCTTGTTCCAACCCAAAGAGGCATGTCCGCTTGGCCTGACGTAGATAAAGATGATTGCCCCATACAGCATGATGACAACCATCAAGTGAGCAATGCAAGTGGAGAAAGCTTTCTGCCTCCCAGAGGCTGATGGGATTCTCATCACGGTGGAGATGATGAAGATGTACGAAACCACTGTCATCAGGGAATTGCAGAAGACCACAATGGTGGCCACGATGAAGACGATCCACTCTATGGGGCGAGTGTCGGTGCAAGCCAGCTTCAGCAATGGTCCAACATCGCAGTAGAAGTGATTGATGATATTGGGGCCACAGAAAGGCAGGCGGAACACTAGAATCGTCTGCACCAAGACCGTCATCAAGCCACCAAGCCAAGAGCCACCAGCCAGCTGAACACAAACCTTACTGCTCATGATGGCATGGTAGTGGAGAGGGTGGCAAATAGCCATGTAGCGATCATACGCCATGGCGGTGAGAAGGAAGAATTCGGTGGCCCCCAGGAAAAAATGGGAGAATGCTTGAGCTTTGCAACCAGCTAGGCTGATTGATTTCTTGATTGAAAGTAAGTTGGCCAGCAGTTTGGGTATGGTCGCGGTCACATAGATGATTCCTAAGAATGAAAGGTTTCCAAGGAAGAAGTACATTGGCTTATGTAGAGTGGTGTCATGGACTACAGTGGCCACGATGACAATATTCCCAGTGACAGTCAAGGTGTAGATCACCAAGACACCCACAAACACTAGAATTCGCACCTTTTGGATGCTGGGGAAGCCCAGTAAAATAAATTCGACCACAACTGTTTGGTTTTCCATTATCACCTGCATTAAAACATAGGAAAGAGTTACAAAACCGGGTCAGAGAGATGCTCTATCTAGAAGGTGATTCTATTAGGAATGGGTGAATCTGTGAATTTCTGGTTCTCTCTGTTTCTCATTTATCTAGCCTCTTCACATTTCAAAACCAATTTTGCATGCTTTTTAAAGATATAAATTTTCATGCTCACTTCTCCCCACTATATGCATTATTGTATGTTTTACTTGACTGGAGAATGGCATTGCTAAATTGGGAGATACACAGATTATGAAGGACGGCTGTGTTTTGGGTCATGTACTGTTTCAGAAAGTGTAGTAAGCTTGCATTTTAACATGAAGTGAATTGGGTTGCTTCCCTATCCCTAGATTCTATCTATTGGCACATACCCAATTCACAGATCTTAAAGGCCAATAGAAATGCTCATAAGCAGATGCAATGGCAATATCCACCCATGCTATTAGTCTCCAAAGAAAAATTGTCCTCTGTAACTATCCATATATACAGCACAAAGAAATACAGTGGTGCCTCGCAAGACGAAATTAATTCGTTCCGCAAGTTTTTTCTTCTTGCGAGTTTTTCGTCTTGCGAAGCACGGTTTCCCATAGGAATGCATTGAAAATCAATTAATGCGTTCCTATGGAGACCGCTTGCCAGGCTGGCGGTGCAGAGAAGGGCTTTTCTCCCCACCGCAAGCCTTCAGGACAGGTACGGGAACAGAGGGGAAGGCGCGCAGCGCTTCTCCTCTGTTCCCGGGGCTTGCGGTGGGAGGAGGGGTTTTCCTCCCCACGGCCAACATTCAGAACAGCATTCTGAATGTTGGCGGTGGGAAGGAAAATCCTCCTCCCATCGCAAGTCTTCAGGACAGCCATCCGAAGGCTGGCGCGGGGAGAAGGTCTCTCCACCCCGCCACCAGCCTTTGGAGCAGCCATCCAAAGGCTGGCGGCGGGAGGAGGTCTCTCTGCTCCGCCGCCAGCCTTCGGAGCAGCATTCCGAAGGCTGCCGGTGGGGCGGAGAGACCTCCTCCCACCGCCAGCCTTCGGAGCAGCCTTCTGAAGGCTGCCAGTGGGGCAGAGAGACCTCCTCCCGCCGCCAGCCTTCGGAGCAGCCTTCCGAAGGCTGGCGGCGGGAGGAGGTCTCTCCGCCCCGCCGCCAGCCTTCGGAGGAGGTCCGAGGACAGTGGGGAAGACGCGCTGCGCTTCCCCGCTGTCCCGGAGATTTCCCTATGGGCTTTCATCTTGCGAAGGAAGCCCATAGGGAAATTCGTTTTGCGAAGCGCCTCCAAAACGGAAAACCCTTTCGTCTAGCGGGTTTTCCGTCTTTGCGAGGCGTTCGTCTTGCGGGGCACCACTGTAATTACATTCTCTGGAAAAGAGTCAGGGTTCCTGCATTGCTGAGTGCTGGACTAATAACCCTTCTGGTTCCTTCCAACACTACAATTTTATGAATCTATGATCATAAGCCCTGTCTCGCTATACCACTTTAGCCTTCCTTCTAAGGAGAACAAAACTCATAATTCTCCATATATTCCTTGCACCTCCACACACGTAGATAATTGAACTATATGATTTCACTTTAAAGTGAACTTTAGGGATTTTGAAATTAAAATTTAAAATGTCAGATTTGGACTGAAAATAAAAAAAATAAAAGGTCAAATCCAGATTGCAAATTGCATTTCAGATTTAGTTTTGCAATTTGAGCAGAAAACCTTATAAGGCTCTGTAAAAAAAATATTCATTTAATGATCTGGAGTAAGTGTATACTTCATTGTTGTTATTATTATTTAAAAGGTGTGAGATTGTGGCTCTGAAGACACGGTGCTGTTTAGAACCTCAAAACAGTCACACATAAAAGTTACAGCAATCGATGGAGATTAAGTAAAGCATGTACTTAATGCCTTTTGTCTTCTGCTGTAAGATTTTCGAACATTGCCACTCAGTTCCTTAAGTGGCATGAGAGGACTATCAATTGAGTAAAGCTTTTGCAGTTGACCAATAACTTTGTACAATCAATGAAAATATGGGTCACCCACCCCACTGTGCTGCAACCACCTTGTTGGTTCAATAACAAATGGCACTTGATTGACGTATAAAAATAAACCACACATCATCATATGATTGAAAAAGAAAGAGGGTACTCACAATTTTACACATCCCGACTGGTCCTCAGAGTAAACATTTCTGTTTGTTTCCTGGAAAACATTGTCACATATTCTAGTATTTGTACAGTATCCACTATTTTCAAAGCACTTATAATAATGAGAAAAACAATATACGCAATATAGAGCATGATACTTAATAGCAGCTAAAGATGCTATCAAACTATAACACTGTCTGCCTCTTGCTCTGATGCCTGTATATGTGCAGATGAGCACAGAAATGAGGAGGAAAAGAACAAATACTTCAGGCATATATCTTTTTGGATTCTGCTTCCTGTAGAGCACAATGAAGTTCTTTGGTGCAGGTTTACAAGAGCAGTTTAAATATATGGGAAAGAGTACTTCAGTCCTAACCATTCCCACTAGGGAAATTAAACCACCTGAGAGAAACAGAGAAGCACTTTGGGGAACTTAAGATGTGTTTTCCTTGGCAAGTGCCTGGACAAAGCCGGAGGGTTTGAATGCTGTGGAGCTGCTGCTGGTGGACTCCTGGCCTCATATACTCAGAGAATGCATAACACATTATTAAGATATGAAACTTGCTTGCACAGGAAACAATGGAAGGCTTTACAAGGGGCTTAGGCAAATTATTGGAGGAAAAGGCTATCAGCAGCTACTAGCCATGGTGGCTGAGTTCTACCTCCACTGCCAGAGGCAGTAGGCCTGTGAATATCAGTTCTAGGGAAACACAGGCGGGCAGAGTATTGTTGCACTCCTGTCTAGCTTGCAGGCTTCCCATAGGCATCTGTGAGAACAGAGTACTGGACTAGATGGGAGATGAGTAAAAGCTGGAAGACCACAAAATGCATCTCTAGATCAGAGCAGCAGAAAAGGGGGGATCCCGCTTCCAAAAACTGCTAACCAGATGCTTCCTGCCTTGATCATACATGCAAGGCAGGAACACAATGGCTCTCCCTTGTGCTTTGCCCCCCCCAACATTAAAAACCCCCTTTCTTGTTGCCCAGAGAATGATAATGCCTATGAACACGGAAGATCTGTTTAAGTCTCATGGCAAATCACCATTGTTGGAATCATCCTTTAGGAATGTCTTCAATGCTTTCCTTAAAAACAAAGCAAAATACAAGTGGTTGTAAGCAGTCGGTTGGTTACAGCGTGGTGTTGATAACACCAAGGTTGCAGGTTCAATCCCTGTATAGGACAGCTGCATATTCCTGCATTGCAGGGGTTTGGGCCAGATGATCCTCAGGGTCTCTTCCAATTCTACAATTCTATGATTCTAATAGTTTAGTGCCTTCATGTGCCTTGTCAGAGTAGAAGCATATAAATGTGAATAAATGGCCATCTTTTAGGCAAAGAGTAGTCAACACATTGTACCTGTGTATACAGTTAGTTCCTGGGTGTGGAGGAACTACTTGAAGAGGGAACTTTCTGTAGAGATGAATGAGAGTAGAAAGGCAATGTGGGCCTTGAGACTGAAGAGTAAATAGGACACCCCGACTACTGTATTTAAATAATTAGTTTGTGTTGAGTTTACCTGCAGTGCCTGTTTCCAAGAAAGGCTGGGCCTTCCAGTTCCCTCTAGATGTGGTAGACTACAGACATCATTATCTATCTGAAGAAGTGTACATACATACAAAAGCTCATACCAAGAACAAACTTAGTTGGACATTTTTAAAAAATATATATATTTCTATCATTATCTATGACCATTGGCTTGTCTGAGACCTGACACGGGAATCTTGTTTTATTAATCTTACAAACTCAAACAAAAAAAGCAGCTAGTCCCTTGTCCCCCACACCCAGCCAGCTTAGTCCTCCAAGACCTGGGGCAAATGTACCTGGCTGCCTCCACCTCTGCAAGCACCTGCTGGACCCAGCTGGACTCTGCAAGGACCCAGCTCTTCAAAAGGAACATTAGCAGTGCTTAGGGCTTTAAAGGTCAGCACCAACATTTTGAATTGTGCTTGGAAATGTACTGGGAGCCAATGTAGGTCTTTCAGGCCTGGTGTTATGTGGTCTCGGTGGCCACTCCCAGTCACCAGTCTAGCTGTGGCATTTTGGATTAGTTGTAGATTCCGAGTCACATTCAAAGGTGACCACCATCCTCTAAGACCAAAAGATGCCTAGACCTTCTGAAAGTGTTGCTTACGATTGTGAATTTTTTATTTTTTTATTTTTTGACATAGACAGTTTCCCAACTTTATATATTTTTAATCCTCTTTGGCAATAAATGGCAATCAAATCAAGTCACTCCGTATCAGTTCAGTGGAATTTTTTTTTTAATATTCACTGCCTTCCTCAAAGCTTCTTTGACGTCTTTGTTCCTCAGGGTGTAGATGAAAGGGTTGAGGAGCGGGGTTATAACTGTATTCAGCACAGATACCACTTTGTTTACCTCCAGAGAGGAGTTTGCTTTGGGCTTCACGTACATGAACATCACTGTTCCATATTGTATGGACACCACCGTCAGGTGGGCGGCACAGGTTGAGAAAGCCTTCTGTCGCCCCGACGAAGAAGGGATGCGCAATATGGTGGAGATGATGAAGATGTAGGAGATGGCAGTGAGTAAGAAGGAGCTGAACAGGAGAAGGGCAGACCCCACTAACACTATCTGCTCGAGCAGGTGGGTATCAGAGCAAGCCAAGCTCAGCAATGGGGTCACATCACAATAGAAATGGTTGATCAGGTTGGGGCCACAAAATGGGAGTTGGCAGATCAAGATGGTCTGCACTATGACAGTGAAGAAACCTCCCAGCCAAGACCCCAAGGCTAACTGCAGGCAAAGCTTGCTGTTCATGATGATGCTGTAATGCAGTGGGTTGCAGATGGCTATGTAGCGGTCAAAGGACATTGAGGCAAGCAGGCAGAATTCAGTAGCCCCAAGAAGGAAATGGAAAAAGGCTTGGGTGATGCAACAGTAGAAGCAGATGGCCCTCCTCTCTGCCAAGAAATTGGCCAGCATCTTGGGCGACAGCGTGGTGACATAAAAGATCTCCAGGAAAGAAAAGTTCCCTAGGAAGAAGTACATGGGGTTGTGGAGATGGTGATCATGGATGATGATGAAAACAATCAGGATGTTTCCTGTGACAGTGAGGATGTACATAAGCAGAACGGGAACAAATAGATACTTCTGCAGCTCTGCGGAACCTGGAAACCCTTGGAGAATAAACTCAGTGAGGACAGTTTGATTTGTTTGAGGCATTTCTTGAAGAAGACTCATCTGCCCGACTCCTTTCTATACCTGCTAAGAGCATGGGGGAAAAGATCAACAAGACAGCAAACCTTTGCAGTGTGCAGCTTGAAGGGACGGAATGCATAAAAACTGACTCCTTCTGGAATTAAAGATTGCCCAGGCCCAAAAGTTTGATTCAAAGCTTTACCTGCATAACTTTCTTCAAAACAGAGCAAAAAACAACAACAGTAAATTATACATCCAAACAGTTCTGTGATGTTCAGGTTTATTATCTTAAAAATAATTTTAAACAGGACTGAGGTCAAAACTCTATCTCTCCCCCATTACAGCCTTCATTACAACCTGAGGTTATGTGCTTTTGGAATGAGCTCCATTATTAATCTTACTTCCACACTTGCTGGGAACTCCCTTTCAAAACGGAGATTTGCAACCCGGTACCTTTGTTACCTGATCTAAGGTTAAACACTCACATGCTAGCTAGCAGAGAATAACAATAGTTAGTTATCAACTGATCTAGAAGTTTGGAGAGCTTAGTATAGCCCCTTGGAAAATTGTTAAAGCCTGCAGTAATGCACAAATACATTCCTCCTTTTGGTGTCAATTATACGATTATACTTAACGAACTAGCTATATCATCATCCTGCTTAGATTTCTAGTTTAATTTCAGAACAGGCTCAAGTACCCTATGTTAAATCAAAAGGCATGTTATACAAGGAGGAGGGGGAAGAGGACACCATACCAGCTGCTCCTAGTACAGATCCATGGAATTACATTCCATACATTCTCACTAATCCATACAACAACCCTTTAAAGTGAGTATTGCAAGTAGGATGAAGGTTCCCTGCCCTGTGACAACCCAGTGAATTCATTTTTTGAGGCAGGATTTGAATGATGTATAAAGAGAAAGAGACATTTAGATTTTGATTTTGTTCAGTCTGGGGAGATTAAATGAATGTCAAAACTTGTGCAAGGTCCTTCACTAGCAAATGTACAACATCAAGTTAACCTTCCTGGTTTCCACCAAGATAGACACATCAATGTCTGCTTGATTATTATAGCTCATATCAGAATAATAAGTTTGCTTAATATTTTTCTAGCCCTGGTGGAGCAATAACAAGCAAGGGGAAATGGTATGGTCCCCATCCAGATGAATAAACATACTTTAGGAGAAAGCAGAACTTAATTTGCTTAAATCTTCAATCTTCAGTCAGAACAATCCAAATTCACACTTCTCTAAATTTTGCAATGCAGTTATCCAACCAAACAATATTAATAAAAATGCATTTTATTGGGGAAGTGTATAAAATGTGAAGATGTTAGGGGGAAGAACATACAAAATCCTTTTTATTAGGGGAAATTACTTGCAAAAAAAGGCGTACATTAGTGTATAAAAAAGGTATTTATTAAGAAAAATTGCACTAAAATGCTGATAAATTTCCTGAGTTTTTAAAATTGCATTGCTGCATAATGCGGAGAACTGAATTAAAGATTCTAAAAAGTGAGAGGGAGAAATAAAATAAAATGAAACTGTAATTGATAGATCCTTCCATCTCCAGTCACTACCCACAAACTTCCAAACTGATCTTCAGAAACAGTGGTGTAAGAAATCTGCTTTAAAATGAAAAAAGATAAATATAAAATCACGCTCCCTAATTGCTCTGTTTTCTAAAAGTTCTTTAGCCCTGATGTGACTAAACCTGTAACTAAGTCAAATTATGTTCAAATTAAGCATATATTATTTCTCTGTGCCTTCCCTGCTGTCAGGGTTTATTTGCAGCACGACAAACTCTTTGCAGTGTCAGATCCTGGTAACATTCCAAGTAAACTACAGCATAGGCATAGTAGGTAAAATGTACTTACTGAACATGAAATAAATGATATGAAGAAATGGCCAAGATCAGCCAGGATAATTCTATTCATACAGCCTATAGACCTTCAACTGCAAGATGTTTGCCTTAGATCATAAACAAAAAACAAGACACACCAAAATTTCTTTAATTGAGTCTAAAACTTTAAACTCAAGGCACGAAAGAAGATATATTCAAATTGTAAGTGACAGCAAGATAATCAGTGCAGATTTGATGAGGACATGATAAATAATACCAGTTATCAGTATTATGAGGAAGGTCATCTTGGAACTGAGTTATTTTATGTGTGTCTTATGTTTTCAGTGGTCCCCCCCCCCAAGCAATGAATTTGTTTTGAAGCAGCAGCAAATAATAATATCCTCCAGAGACCTCATTAGGAGGGATTTCTTTCTTGTACACTTTTTTATTATTCCTCTAACTGGGATTGCTAAACTTATACACTTGCCAATGTAGTTTAGCAAACAGAATTGTTGATTTGGAAGAAGAAAACTCACAATTCAAAGAGGGGTGTGTGTGTGTGTGTGTGTGTGTGTGTGAGAGAGAGAGAGAGAGAGAGAGAGAGAGAGAGAGAGTCTAAAAATGCATCTCCAAATGCTGATAGAGAATTAGATAGTGAAGATTTGATATCCTACGTCAGCAGACAATATTTGGTATTGACCAGCCTGGAATAGCATATAGGCTGAAATATTATATCTCACACGTGTCCATTCAACTGCTTTGATTCCTGGAACTGGCACTGAGCATAAATCTAAACATCACCTTAATATACCCACTGGGATGAGAAAGACTTTGTCACTCACCAGAAGCGCAGCTAGTTGCTGATATATCATGAGTTCTCATATTCCATGACCACTAGTGGGTGGTAGTGCCCAAGAAACTTGAAGGAAGGCATGATCTGGCATTCTAAATTATTGCATTGGTTATGTGCAATAAGCATAAAGAGTTTATAAGCCTTTATAAGCATAAAGGGTTAGCCATATTTTTTAATTTTTGTATTCGTTTGTTCCAGAACAGATAGTCACCTCTTCCTCAAACTGCTTGCGCAAATGCAATAGGGTAGATCAGGCACCCCCAAACTCGGCCCTCCAGATGTTTTGGGACTACAGTTCCCATCATCCCTGACCACTGGTCCTGTTAGCTAGGGATGATGGGAGTTGTAGTCCCAAAACATCTGAAGGGCCGAGTTTGGGGATGCCTGGGGTAGATGATGGAGTTACGGTAGTTTGTTTCCTGTTGCTGCAAATGGTTGGGCATAAACCAATGGGTTCAAGTGAGAAGAATTCTAACAAAGCATTAAAAAGAACTTCCTGACTGTATGAGCTGAACAGAAAGCCTTGGAACATGGTGGGCTGTCCTTTGCCAGTGGTTTTTAAGTGGCAGCTGGGTCAACACCTATTAGGGATGTTGTAACAGTAGATTTGTTGCATCAGCAGGGATTTGAAATATATTACCATTGAGAACCTCAGTGGGTTCCAGCCATTCAGGTTCCAACGCCATCATTCTAATTAGCAAACATAAAAGAGATCTTTGCCCAAATCTTGCCCAAAACACCACATTGCCTCTCACAAAGCCACTCACCTATATACGTGTATACAACATTGCATTGAATGCAGTGATGTGCTTCATTCTTGAATTGTTCTAGTGACAACACTACAAGCATTTTAGTAGAGCAGATAATTTAAATCATTTCATGTTTTCCAATATCTGAAGTGGGGGGGGGGACCCTTGCTTCCTGTAATAATCATTTTCTTTAGCCTAAATAAATCTCCCTCCACCACCACATTATCCCCAAGGAGATGTTCCTCTGAGATTTGTCCAGATGCTTATTAATGAGAATCTATCACTGTGGGAGTTGGCCACAATGGTTTCCTCCAGTATAAATACTCCACAGAAAATTTTGAAACTATGCCAAAAAGTGCCTAATCTGACTACTTCCTACTCTTTTTAAAAAAATGCTTTTATTATTTTCCTCCTTAAACAATATTTTCGACAATATAATAGCAAACACAAAGACTTTCAGCTCTGCCAAACATGCGACTTCCATGCTTCCCTTCAGCAGGTTTTTTGCTTTCAAGTCCAATCTCACAATTTAGCTCTTTAACTTCAATTGTCCACATTGTAGGATTTATTTCAATCCTGCTAGTGTCTTCAAATTTTTGCAATTGTTATTCAAATATACAGCGGTACCTCGGGTTAAGTACTTAATTCGTTCTGGAGGTCCGTTCTTAACCTGAAACTGTTCTTAACCTGAAGCACCACTTTAGCTAACGGGGCCTCCTGCTGCCACCACACCGCCGGAGCACGATTTCTGTTCTTATCCTGAAGCAAAGTTCTTAACCCGAGGTACTATTTATGGGTTGGCAGAGTCTGTAACCTGAAGTGTATGAAACCTGAAGCGTATGTAACCCGAGGTACCACTGTACAATAAATTTACTCCAATCCCTTTGAAATTTTTGATCGTCATGATCTCAAATCCTGGCCAATTCCACAAAGTCCATCATCTTTGCCTGCCACTCAGCAATCGTACGTACCTCCTGTAACTTCCACTTTGGGGCCATTAAAGTTCTCGCTGCTGCTGTGGCATACATAAATAGTCTTTGATCTATCTTGACTACTTCCTGCTCTTAACATCCTGACATGGGTAGAATTTATGGCAAATCTGCTCAACTACATCCAGAGCAGGATCATGACACCAAAGCTGACCACAGTTTGGGAACATGCACATAACAGCACACAATTGCACACAAATAACTAACTAACTAACACTATGGACGATCTTGAGTGTTTGTGTTGTGTTGAGGAAATTCCTCATGTGTATCTTCCCATTTAGAAGAACTGACTCTCAAAATGATTATTGTTTGATTATTGCTAAATTCATCAAATGTGCTGTTCACCCAAGACAGGGAAGTCTCTATGTGACTTCAAGTTTAAAAACATACAAAATTGTAAAATCAAGAACCATCATTATAGAAACAAAAAAATACAGTATGTAGAACAAAAGATACCAGCTTCCACAAGGGAGAGATGGGACATACAATTGCTCAGAGACGTCTCAGAAAGCTGTTTTTTAAAGCCACTGTAATGTCCATATGCAAATTAGAAATCTATGTTTCCTTTCCTAGAAACCTTTAAAGCAATGCTTTGGGCCAGCAGGTTGGCATTTCAAAGGCTCTTGCCTTTGAAAACAGAAACCATGAGTTTTACACTGTGTCTTCTTTTCTGGGCAGCAACATTAGCAGGTAAGGGAGATGGCCAGTGAAAGATCTGTCCTAAATTATATTTTTGGTTTGTCAGTCAAAGATTCTGAAAATGTTGTGATACATAACGAAGAAGACAATGAAGAGAGACATGACAGCTATTATATGGGACACGAGGAACCTCAATTCCCTACTGCTCTACACAACTGCATATGAAACAGTGAACTGAATCTTCTTATAGGCATCCCCATGCAAATGATACTTCCTCTAGTGTACTTTCCCCCCTGCTCAAATAACTTCTGGCACATTGTTCCCTCCAATACATAGCTTTCATCAGTTGCTTATGCCCATAAATACATTATCATGCAGACTTTATTAACATCCTCTGTATTCATAAGCTTGTTGTTTGGTGAGTATTTCTATACACCAAGTAGAATATAGAGATAGCAGAAACAGCATGGCACATTTCTTTTTGGGAAATGAGGTGTGTAACTTGGTGGCCTTGGTGTTATTTAGAGTGGGCTTCTTATGCTTGTCTGTCCCTTTCTACCCAAACACCAGAAACTTTCTTTCCTCTATCCACCATTCTGTTCCTTTATTTGTGGAAATGTAAAATGCAGTCATATTCCAGCCATCAAGATATCGGTAGTCCATCAGATAAACTGTTGGGAAGCTCAAACCAGACTTTGAGCACAATGGCCTTCTACGATTTGACAATGATTCGGACATAATCGCTGGGCAAGAGACTCGATTAAAGATGTAAATGCTATGTGCACATATTTGATGCCAGTCTGATGATCAAAAATTGCTTCCACCCTTCTGATTCCAGCTACCCAGTCCCAGATTTCCCTGATCCAGCCTGTTTCAGAAATCAAATGCCCAGAAGAGACCTTGACTCTGACTTGCAAAAGTTCCTCCTCTTTGGATCAGTACTGGATGCAATGGAGTCGGAAAATGGGGGACCAGGGAATTCAGTGGATTGGAGAGATCAGTCCAGATGGCAAAGCAACAGGTGTGCACCAGCCTCTGAGGGGAAGATTTACCATCTCCCGGAATAACGCACTGAACACCGTTTACTTAGAGATAAGGAAGCTTGTGGTTGAAGACAATCGTCTCTATTACTGCAGCGCCCACAGTGAAATGGAACCATACAGAAACCAGAAATTGCTATGTGCCATCACTCCATCTGCTGGTCAGGTGCTAAGGCTAGAATCTCACACCACTGATCTGGGGGGTGCACATGCATTCGAAAAGGATCCTGGACCTGTGCAAAAGCCCAGATTCATGCAATCAAAAAGTCACAACGCTGCCCTTATCTTTGTGTGGGTAATCATTTGACCCACCCAGCAGAACAGACACTTTTCTGTTTCTGTTTTGTGTTTTGGTCTGCACTTGTCAGACTGCTGGCCTTTAGCAAACTCTTGAACAGAAGAAGGAGCCCAATCCAAATCTTTGCGTCTTGAGTTCATTGCATGGGTGGGCAAATCTTGTATCCCATCTCCCTTTCCTCAGTGTATTCTCCTGGCTTGGGGACATGGGTGGCACTGTGGTCTAAACCACTGAGCCTCTTGGGCTTGCCGATCAGAAGGTCAGCGGTTCGAATCCGTGCGACGGGGTGGGCTCCTGTTGCTCAATCCCAGCTCGTGCCAACCTCGCAGTTCGAAAGCAGGCCAGTGCAAGTGAATAAGTAGGTACCGCTGCGGCAGGAAGGTAAACGATACTTCCATGTGCTCTGGTTTCCGTCATGGTGTCCCATTGCATCAGAAGCAGTTTAGTCAAGCTGGCCACATGACTCGGAAAGCTGTCTGTGGACAAATGCTGGCTTCTTGAGCCTGAAAAGCGGGCTGAGTGCCGCAACTCCATAGTAGCCTTTGACTGGACTTAACCATCCAGGGGTCCTTTACCTTTTACCTTATAGCTGGCTTGGTTGCCTCTTCTGTAAGGAGCTGACTGTTCTCAGTGTTTGGGGGACATTCTGAAAGATTAATTAGCATTATTAATTGGCGTGGGCAATCTCAGATAAAATTTGTAGTACTTAAAAAAACTTTTCTACAACCTCAGGTAGTCTCTTAATTAGCATTTTTGTAACCAGGGATGCTTTCTTGGTCTGATTAAGCTTATGTTATTTTATTAAATAACACTGCAGATGGTGACAGCATCCACGAAATTAAAAGACGCCTGCTTCTTGGGAGAAGGGCAATGACAGGCCTGGACAGCATCTTGAGAAGTAGAGAGGTCACCTTGCCAACAAAGGTCCGTATAGTTAAAGCCATGGTTTTCCCAGTAGTGATGTATGGAAGTGAGAGCTGGACCATAAAGAAGGCTGATCGCCGAAGAATTGATGCTTTTGAATTATGGTGCTGGAGAAGACTCTTGAGAGTCCCATGGACTGCAAGAAGATCAAACGCATCCATTCTTAAGGAAATCAGCCCTGAGTGCTCACTGGAAGGACAGATCCTGAAGCTGAGGCTCCAGTACTTTGGCCACCTCATGAGAAGAGAAGACTCCCTGGAGAAGACACTGATGCTGGGAAAGATGGAGGGCACAAGGAGAAGGGGGCGACAGAGGACGAGATGGTTGGATAGTGTTTTCGAGGTTACCAGCATGAGTTTGACCAAACTGTGAGAGGTAGTGGAGGACAGAGGTGCCTGGCGTGCTCTGGTCCATGGGGTCACGAAGAGTCGGACACAACTAAACGACTAAACAACAACAATTTTATTAAATACATATACAAAAAGCTCATGGCAAAGCTGAAACTGCTGTCTGTTAATCTTTCCTTTTTTTCATGAGGACAGAAGAGGAACTAGCTCTTCTGTCACTATTGATGATTTCACTGCAATCCAACATAAAATTGATGTGTGGATTTATGTTTGACAATGCTTTGTAAAAGTGGAGTGAATAATTTCTAATGCTAGTATTTCTAAATTATTTGTGTAAACCTGACAGCAAAATAAAATAAAATAATAAAATAAAATAAAAATGTTTCTAACAATTAAAATAGAAGTTGCTTGCTGAAGCTCTACTGCAAGAACATTCCACAGGACTGGGCCAATGACACTAAGGACTTGGTCTCATGATGATGTCAACTGAGGCTCTTCATCTCAGGGGACAACCAGCAATCCTTGGACATATAATCTCTGCTTCATTTTCATCTTATGCATAAAAACATAACAAAGCATTCTTGCTGCTTGATGAGTTGCCTTTGTTTCCTTTTTTAAAACTTTCTGACTCTTTAATTAGTGTTCTTAATTAGCACGGGGGAAACTATTAAGATCTTGGATGACTTTTTTCTTGCAATCCCATGTGGCCTTGATGAAAAGTTCACAAGTGGAGATGGGAGCAGGAGAATTCATAAGAATGATGTTTTACATTAGGACTATTACAGTGACACACTCATTTGTCATTATGCTTCTTCTTTTAATATTCACGTCAATGTATTTGTGTGGTGTGTGTGTGTGTGCATGCATGTGCGTGTATTATCTAGATTTGGGCAAATGCTTGCAGAAGAAAAGAATATGTGGAACATGATGCTGTCCCCCTTGTTCTTGAATTTGCCTTTACAAGTTAATGGGAAAACAGTGCTCACTGGATTCCATAGGACATAAGACAGGAAGACCAACACTAGGTGGAGCCACATCTAACTAATTCTAGTTTTGACCTCATCCTGGTCTGTGCTGAGTTTTTATAAGAGCAACGCTGCGACAAATGAAGAGGAATTTGACAGGCAGTGCCACCCTCTGGACTGGATGTAAGTAAGACAGCATGAGGGGGGGATTGCAGAGGGCAGACTGAGGTTGGTAGGGCACTGCCCCATTTTTCCTAATGGGGGGGGAGGGTGTCCCCCCAATGCAGCAGAAGACACAGTCCCAACTGAGTTTCATTTAAACTGCTCCTATTCAAGTACATGGGGAAAAAACATTGTTTTGGGATAAATATATCAATATGCAATGAATAAAGTTTACAGGGTAGAAATATTGAGGAAATGGATGGAAGTGGAACAAAAACAAAGTAATACTAATAACACAACGAATAAAAGAAGATTAAGGGAAGGAGGTCGAACATGGGTGGAGGGAAGTCCGTATTTTTATGTATTTTTTTGTGTGTGCTTTTTATTTTTTTATTTTGTGTAATTTGTTTCCCCCCTTTTTTTCTTGTGATATTGTTTGGTTTTTGTTACTGCAATTCAATAAAGTTAAATAAAAACTAAACAATAAACTGCTCCTATTCATTCTGAGTTGTTACCTAATTGCTTTTATTGCAAAAAAGGGAACAATATTCATACAGTGTAACTGAACGTAGCACGTATTTATATATTCAGCCATGGGTTAACCAAAACATATTGATATAGATATGTTTGCTGGTGTGGTGATGAGCAGTTTTTATTAAATTTATTGCTCTTTTAAAGGAAGGCAGGCAGGAAGGAAGGAAATGGAAGAAGGAAATGTTACATCAATCAATGAATTCATTCTTCTGGGATTCCCTGAACTCCATGGCATGAGGATGCCATTTGTTGGGATTGTCCTTCTGATGTACCTTCTCTCCATTTCAGGCAATTGCCTCATCATTACCGTGGTCTTCATAGAACACAAGCTCCATACACCCATGTATTTCTTCCTCAGCAATTTTTCCTTGGCTGAGCTCTGCAGTAGCACAACCGTGATTCCGAAGATGCTAACCAACATGGTCTTGGACCAAAACACCATTTGCTACACGTGTTGCATGACTCAGACTTTTATGGTCTTCTCGATGGGAGCCATTCAGTTCATTAACCTCACCGTCATGTCCTTTGACCGCTACACAGCCATCTGCCAACCTTTTAAGTACAATATCAAGATGACTAACACACTCTCCTTCCACCTATCATTGATGGCTTGGGTTGTAGGGTTTACAGTTATATTTTTTCAACTCATAGTTGTATGGACTACTTACCCATTCTGTGGTAATGTCATCGATCACTTCTTTTGCGATATTGGACCTGTTTTGAAATTGGCTTGTGCTGATACAACTGTGTGGGAGCTTGCGAGTTTGTTTTATAGTGTCATTATTATGTGTGGCTCATTTTTCTTCTCAGTGGGCTCTTATGCATGCATTCTAAAGACCATTGTTCAGATTCCATCTGTCACCGGGCGGTCCAAGGCATTTTCCACTTGTTCCTCTCATCTCACTATTGTGGGCATCTTCTATGGGGCAGCGTTTTTCATGTACCTGAGGCCTTCGACCCAAGGTGACACCCGAATCAACAAAGTCATATTCATGGTGATCTGTGTTGTTTTGCCAACCCTAAGCCCTTTCATCTTCACAATACGAAACAATGACTTCAAAACTGCTGCGAAAAAGGCAATGGGCAGAATTTGCTAGCTGCCTTCCTCTGTGGTCATGAGATTGCTCAAGCAGTGTTCCTTGCAAAGCACATTCAGCAAATTCTTTAATGAGCACAATCAGAAGACTTGGGAGTGTCACTGAGATCAGGGGTATATTGTCAGCTATTTCTTAGAACTTTTTAAAAAAAAAACAGAAGGGAAAATGTGGTAATACTCAGGGTGCTCATTTGGAAGATTTATGGTAATTCAGGTTCTCCCTGATAGTGCAAATAACATTTGCTCAGTGTGGGCACATTTAAATTAATGGACCTAGCAGTCATGTCCGTTAATGTCGATGGGTCTACTTTGAGTAGTACTCAGTTGAATACCACCCATACTCTCCTTCTTTCTAAAGTTGCAAAAATAGTTGTTTATCATTTGTTTCCAGGAGCTATGGGGTGGAATTCAAAGAGCTCTGTTACACGATTCCATCGGGCTCTTCCATTCTTTAAAAAATACCCATAAACTCAAAGCAGATGCTGCTTCTTCTTGGTCCTTCTCTCTATTTTTCATGAAGAAAGAAGAGGAACTGAATCTTATGTCGCTTGCTATTATTTCGCTGGTGATCTCTGTACAAGTGATTATTTGGTTTATTTCTGACAATTTAATGACTTATAATATTTGTGTTCAAGATTAGTTCAGACTTATGATTGGTATAGTTTTAAGAATGGAGATTCATAGCTTAATGAGAAAGCTGTCTCATTTACTGTATTTTTCGCTCTATAAGATGCACCAGACCATAAGAAGGACCTAGTTTTTGGAGGAGGAAAACAAGAAAAAAAATATTCTGAATCTCAGAAGCCAGAACAGCAAGAGGGATCGCTGCGCAGTGAAAGCAGCAATCCCTCTTCCTGTTCTGGCTTCTGGGATAGCTGTGCAGCCTGCATTCGCTCCATAAGACGCACACACATTTCCCCTTACTTTTTAGGAGGGAAAAAGTGAGTCTTATAGAGCAAAAAATACGGTAAATCCTGTAAGGTCTTCTGAATACTTTCATTAGTATCAAATTACCATAGAAGACTCTCAGTCAGTGAGATTGATCCAGTTTTATTTCTCTGCTGCTACTGATGCTGTTTATGCTGTTGGTTCTGGAATTAAACTCTGACAATGGTGTGAACGTTCTACAATAATGGCAAGTGTACAAAATGAGCTGCTAACAGAAATCATAATTAAGAGAAGGACTAGAGAAATAAATTAATTTTACTACAGGAAGCAGCTGCCTTAAAACATCTCTCTCCAGAAATAAGCTGATGTTACTCAAGGAAGAACATCATACTTAAAACCTAATATTTATAATGCTGGTTCTAGTGTACTAGCATTTAGATCATAATATTTTTCTTTTTAGGATTTCTGCCTTGATTTCTGTCTTAATACATTTTGTCATATGCTTTAAATATATTTTGACACCTGGGGCCTTTCATATGAATCTATATTATCATTCATTGATCCACATAGACAACTATTGTTGACTCTGACAAGATAAAGGTCTTTTGCAATCCTGCTTCCAAAAATCATTATTTAAAGTATAGGAAAAGACTGGTTTGGACCACAGCACAGTTCCATTAAGTTTAGCATCTTGTAGCCTACAGTGTCCAGTCAGGTGCTTTTGGGAAGCCCACTATCTAACTCATGAAAACCAGTAGCCCTCTGATATTTACAGAGAGGATACCTTCAATTGTCTATGCTCTGGTAGCCTCTACATTACATTACTGTCGTTGGGCTGTCTTTCAGTATAGTTCAGAAGCCACAGCTATTGCAGAATTCAGTGGGCAATTCAGCCAGTGTGGTGTAGTGGTTAAGAGCGGTAGTCTCGTAATCTGGGGAACCGGGTTTGCGTCTCCGCTCCTCCACAAGCAGCTGCTGGGTGACCTTGGGCTAGTCACACTTCTCTGAAGTCTCTCAGCCCCACTCACCTCACAGAGTGTTTGTTGTGGGGGAGGAAGGGAAATTTGCATGTCTCTGAATTTTGCGATGTGGTTCTCCAATCAGTGTGAACTGAAATGCATATGTGAGGGTGAAGTGAGCATAAAAATTCATAAATTAGTGGGTGGGAGGAGCCTTAAAATGGCATTCTGTTAAGGGACACTTTTTTGGGGGGAAATGATATATTGGTCAAAACTGCATAGAAACCTGAACCTATTAGGGAAAATCACAGTAAAATACTGTTGAATTTGCATTAAAATGCTGCTGAAGTTACATTAGACTTTTTAAACAAAACAAAAAGCAGAAATTGCTACAGAAATGTGAGCAACTGAATTTAACATTAAAAAGAAGAAGAATGAAGAAGAAGAAGAAGAAGAAGAAGAAGAAGAAGAAGAAGAAGAAGAAGAAGAAGAAAGTATCTTGTTGTGAGACCTTTATGGATGACCTGAGAGTTTGTTTGGATCATGGGTGAGAACGCAGAGGTTGAGAGGTAGCACGCGACAGAAGGAAAATGAAATTGTATTTATTTATATTTTAGTAACTTTCCATTAATGTAACATTTTTATATGTAATTCTGTACTTTTGAAATATTTTGTTAAACTTGTCTGTTGCTGCTTAGAGAGATTTTAAATATATTAAATCACATAGAAATAAATAATCAAATCACAATCAATCAAAGAAGCAGAGAGATTCTTGGCTGCAGCTAATATTGGCCGTCCGCTCAATATATCTTTGGGACTAATGTATCTCCAAACATGTGACAATTGCACAATCACATTAAATTTTGAGCTGGGTATTACTGTGCTATAAACTCATCTGAGCAGCCCCCTACAATGTAAGCGCAGAGAGAGAAAATGCTGTTGGTGCTGCTCAAGCTCCATGATGTTGGGCAAAGGAGAAAATAGAGAGAGAAATATAATTTTGCCACAGGAAGAAGCTGAGAAGACAGTTTCCTTTGTGGATATGTTATGCCAGTCTATAATTTTGGAATGTGATTTTATAAATGGAATCAAATGAAATGAGTATCATTATGTCAGACATTCCATACTGCATCTATATTGCTCCCTGCAATCTGCAAGGTGCTGCTTCCCCTCTCCCAATCTTCTCTGTCTTTAAAGGGGCCTTTGAAATTGCAGGGAAGATGTGCGACTGCTGTTCTTTGCATGATAACCACACACCTCCTGCATGTGTGCATCTGCTTGCCGCTTATAATAACAGCACTGATGGTCCCATGCAAATTACATCCTGGGGGGCTTCATTAAAAAGAAGTCCTTTGCAGAGGATGCAGAATTCAAGGTCCTTCAAATAATTCAGGTCTTCTTCAGGTCCTGGGAGATGATGCCATTGATCATGGAACTGCAACCCTTGATGATTTTCCTTATGTTCTTCCCAACATGTAAGAGAAAAATCCTCTCCCCCACTCTTGTAGACAATCCAATCCTTTGCTGTGTAATTGCATGTCATTTCATGTCTCATTTTTCTTCTCCATATACAGACATTTCCTCACAGATTACCCTTACTGAGTCTGGAGGTGGCATGAAAAGACCAGGAGACACATTGCGACTGACCTGTGCGGTGTCTGGATTTTCTGTAACAAGCTATAGAGTACACTGGATCCGTCAGCCACTCGGAAAGGGACTGGAGTGGGCTGGAGTTATTTGGAGTGGTGGAAGCACTTACTATAGCAGTGCCCTCCAAAACCGGATCACCATCTCAAGAGACACCTCAAAAAACCAGGTGTTCCTGCAACTGAATGGCCTGAAGCCTGAAGACTCTGCCATGTATTACTGTTCAAGGGACACAGTGAGCAAAATGTTCTTAGAGGCAGTACAAAAACTTTGCTTCCTGAAAGCAAGATAAAAGTCAATCATGGGTTTGTGGGCAGCAGCTGGAAGCAAGGCCATGTTTCATCCTGTCTTTCCCCTCAACCACAAAACATAATATGATGTGGCACAAATAGTTCATTAACAGAATTAATTCTCTACAAATGTTGAACTTCAAACAATTTTGGCTGGCACAACTCTTCAGAGTGTTTTCAAACTACGTCAAGAGTGAAAAGTAATAACAGCTAGAGCTAATCTTGGTCATCTGATCAATATACATTTGGGATTCATTTCTCTCCAAACATGTGACAGTTGCACAGACACATTACATTCGCATCTGGGTATTAATGTGCAATAAACTCATCTGAACAGCCCCCTACAATGGAAGCATAGAGAAAATTTGCTGTTGGTGGTGCTCACGTTCCATGACGATGGGCAATGGAGTCCAAAGGCCTAATACCACCTGCAAAAGAAAATAGAGAGAGAAATCTAATTTTGCCACAGAAAGAAACTGTCTAGAATATCCCTTTTAGATAGAGGTGACATTTTTAATGGAAGAAGAAGACAACCTTTAAAATAATCTTATTTCTTTATATATTTTCCTGAATGCTTCCATTTTACTCTCACTTTTATATGATTTTGTTTATAAAAAAGTTTAAAAGAAATTATATTTCTTTTATTATTGTATGTGTGTGTATTCAACCTTTGTCTCAAAATATGTATTTATATGTATGTTTTTACACATTTAAACCACTGAAGCAGATGGAATTATTGCATACCAAATTTGTGAAATGCACATTAAGCGAAAGTTGCTGATTAAAGATGGATTTCCTCAGGCACTGCTACTTAAGTTCTCCTGGATTTCTAGATCTGCAAATGATGAGGGCTAGTATTTCTTTTGAAAGGCCTCATCATAGTTGCTTTCAGTTTCTTTGCTTTTTTATTATTCAGCTAATTCAGCTGATCAAAATGTTGCATACAGTAAAGCTACTGATCGGACAAATGTGCAACCCGATAAATGTTTACAGTCACATATCACATATGAAAATATAGCTTCCTTTGCTGATATGTTACCAGTCTTTAATTTTGGAATGTGGTTTTGTAAATGGAATCAAGGGAAATGAGTATCATTCTGGAAGCCATTCCATACTGTGTCTATACTGTGTCCTCCCTGCAATCTGCAAGGTGCTGTTTCCCCTCTCCCAATCTTCTCTGTATTTAAATGGGCCTTTGAAATTGCAGGGAGATGTGGGGCTGCTGTTCTTAGCATGATAACCACACCTACTGCATGTGTGCCTGTACTTGCCACTTATAATAACAGCACTGATGGCCCCATGCAAATTACATCCTGGGGGCCTTCATTAAAAAGAAGTCCTGTGCAGAGGATGCAGAGCTCAGGTCTTCTTCAGGTCCTGGGAGATCATGCCATTGATCATGGAACTGCAACCTTTGATGATTTTCCTAATGTTCTTTCCAGCATGTAAGAGAAAAATCCTCTCCCCACTCCTGTAGACAATCCATCACTATGTTGTGTCGTTCCATGTCATTTCATGTTTCATTTTTCTTCTCCATATACAGACATTTCCTCACAGATTACCCTTATTGAGTCTGGAGGTGGCGTGAAAAGACCAGGAGACACATTGCGACTGACCTGTACAGTGTCTGGGTTTTCTTTAACAAGCTATGGAGTACACTGGATCCGTCAGCCACTCGGAAAGGGACTGGAGTGGGCTGGACGTATCGGGAGTGGTGGAAGCACTTACTATAGCAGTGCCCTCCAAAACCGGATCACCATCTCAAGAGACACCTCAAAAAACCAGGTGTTCCTGCAACTGACTAGCCTGAAGCCTGAAGACACGGCCATGTATTACTGTTCAAGGCACACAGTGAGCAAAGCATTCACAGAGGCAGTACAAAAACTCTGCTTCTTGAAAGCAAGATAAAAGTCAATCATGGGTTTGTGGGCAGCAGCTGGAAGCAAAGCCATGTTTCATCCTCTGTTTCCCCTCAACCACAAAACACAATATGATGCCACACAAATAGTTCCATGACATTGGGCAATGGAGTCCAAAGGCCCAATACCACCTGCAAGAGAAAATAGACTCAGAAATCTAATTTTGCCACAGAAAGAAATTGTCTAGGACATCCCTTTTAGATGGAGGTGACATTTTTAATGGATGAGCAAGACAGCCCTTAAAATAACCTTATTTCTTTATATATTTCACTTAATGCTTCCATTTCATTCCCACATTTATATGATTTTGTTTATAAAAACAGTTTAAAATAAATTATATTTCTTTTAAGTATGTGTTTGCATGTATTCCACCTTTGTCTCAAAATATGTATTTAAATGTATGTTTTTACACATTTAAACTGTGGAAGCAAATGGAATTATTGCATAGAAAATTTGTGAAAAGCACATTAAGCAAAAATTGCTAATTAAATATTGATTTCCTTAGGAACTGCTGCTTAAGTTCTCCTGGTTTTCTAGATCTGCAAATGGTGAGTGCTAGTATTTCTTTTTAAAGGTCTCATCATAGCTGATTTCAGGTGTTTTTTTTAATGCAACTAATGCAACTGATCAAAATGTTGCATACAGAAAAGCTACTGACAGGACAAATGTGCAACCCAATAAATGTTTACAGTCACATATCACATGTGAAAGCTCAGTTTCCTTTGCTGATGATATGTCTTTAATTTTGGATTGTGGTTTTCTGGATGAAATGTGGTTTTGTAGATGGAATCAAGGGAAATGAGTATCATTCTGCAGGCCATTCCATACTGCTTCTATATTGTGTGCTCCCTGCAATCTGCAAGGTGCCCTTTCCCCTCTCCAATCTTCTCTGTTCTTAAATGGTCCTTTGAAATTGCAGGTAGATGTGAGGCTGCTGTTCTTGGCATGATAATCACACCTCCTGCATGTGTCCCTCTGCTTTCCGCATATAATAACACCTGCTCAATATACCTTTGGGATTCATTTCTCTCCAAACATGTGACTGACACTGGCACTGACACATTACATTCTCAGCTGGGTATCACTGTGTGATAAGCTCATCTGAACAGCCTCCTAATATGTAAACACAGATAAAAATTTGCTGTTGGTGGTGCTCGCACTGCATGATGCTGGCAGTAGAGAAAACCGAGAGAGAAATCTAATTCTGCCACAGGAAGAAGCTATCTAGGATATCACTTTTAGATGGAGGTGATATTTCTTGTGGATGAAAAAGACAACCGTTGAAAAAAAACACTTGTTTCTTTATACATTTTCCTGAATGCTTCCATTTCATTCCCATATTTATATGCATTTTTAAAAGAAAACTTAAAAATAAATTATATTTCTTTTATTGTATTGTGTGTGTATATATATTCTACCTTTGTCTTAAAATATGTATGCTTTTACATATTTAAACCACTGAAACAGATGGAATTTGTTGCACAGCAAATATGTGAAATGCACATTCACCAGAAGTTACCGATTAAAGAATAATTTCTGCAGGCACTGCAACTTAAGTTTTTGCTACTGATTTTCCCCTGGTTTTCGAGATCTGCAAATGTCGAGGGCTACTGTTTCTTTTGAAAGGCCTCATCATAGCTGCTTTCAGTTTCTTTGCTTTGTAAGAAATCTTTATTATTATTATTATTATTGTTGTTGTTGTTGTTGTTGTTATTCACAAATGCAGGCAATCAAGGTGTTGCATACAGTAAAGCTACCAAAAGGACAAAGGTGCAACCCAGCAAATGTTTACTGTCACATAGCATGTTCTCCTTCAGGGAGAGCACGTGTTGCGGTGGGGTCTACTGAGCCACCCCCTTTGTTGCTGGGTAAGTTCTCCAAGATGGCCAGGGGGCATTGATTGGATTGCCGAGTTGCTGGGGGAAAAGTTATGTTGCAATTTTGGTGGGAGGGGTAAAAGGTTTAAATACTCTGCACGCAGCCTTGTACTTTCTCTTTTGCTGCGTGCAACGGATCACCCGCCCACCCGCCCTAGAATAAGGGGTTGTTGCGTTGACCTTGCTATGCCTGTCATGGGGTCGTCTGCCTTTGAGCAGGGGCCTGGTAGGAATTTTTCCACCTGGCAAATTGGCTGGCTGGGTGGTTTTTGCCTACTGCGTAGCAAATCGTCACAACTTGTAAGGTTGTGGTTAGGCATTGGTTATAAATCTGGTGGAGGAGGGGTTAGGATAGGCTGGGCCTGCCCCTCCATGGAGGGGTTAGGATAGGCTGGGCCTGCCCCTCCATGGTTGCTGCGGAAAGGAAATTCCGTTAAAGGAATCCTGGGGCTTGCCATCTTTTCGTCCAATCCCTGGAATGGGACTAGGGCTGGCAAGCCTTCGGGGAGCAGGCGGGTGAGAGTTGAGGGTCTGTGTCTCAGCTCCAATTCTTCCCCGACTTGCTTTCCCCCGCACTGTCTTTCGGTGGTGCCCGGAAATCAGTTCTGTCCCCAGGCGGGGGGACAGATAGTCTTAACCAATGCCTAAACAACCACTCACAGTTTGTATTTTAATAAAGTTGTGGCCAAAATCATGCCAAAAATCTTAAACAAAAAATTACGTGTCCGTTGTGAGTTATTTTGGGGGGTGGATTGGGGACCTCAACACGCAAATCACATGTGAAAAGACAGTTTCCTTTGTGTGTATGTTATACCAGTCTTTGATTTGGGAATGTGGTTTTGTAAATGGAATCGAAGGAAATGAGTATCATTCTGGAAGCCATTCCATACTGCATCTATATTGTCTGCTCCCTGCAATTTCAAGGTGCTGTTTCCCCTCCCCCAATTTTCTCTGTTCTTAAATGGGCCTTTGTCCTGTATACCTGAAGGAGTGTCTGCACCCCCATCGTTCAGCCCGGATACTGATATCCAGCGCCGAGGACCTTCTGGCGGTTTCCTCATTGTGAGTAGTGAGGTTACAGGGAACCAGACAGAGGGCCTTCTCGGTAGTGGCGCCCGCCCTGTGGAACACTCTCCCTTCAGATGTGAAGGAAATAAGTAGCTATCCTATCTTTAAAAGACACCTGAAGGCAGCCCTGTTTAGGGAAGTTTTTAATATTTAATGCTGTATTGTTTTTAATCACTCTATTGGGAGCCCCTAATCCAGTAGTGATGTATGGAAGTGAAAGTTAGACCATAAAGAAGGCTGATCGCTGAAGAATTGATGCTTTTGAATTATGGTGCTGGAGGAGACTCTTGAGAGTCCCATGGACTGCAAGAAGATCAAACTTATCCATTCTTAAGGAAATCAGCCCTAGTGCTCACTGGAAAGACAGATCGTGAAGCTGAGGCTCCAATACTTTGGCCACCTCATGAGAAGAGCAGACTCCCTGAAAAAGACCCTGATGTTGGGAAAGATGGAGGGCTCAAGGAGAAGGGGACGACAGAGGACGAGATGGTGGGACAGTGTTCTCAAAGCTACCAACATGAGTTTGACCAAACTGCGGGAGGCAGTGGAAGACAGAAGTGTCTGGCGTGCTCTGGTCCATGAGGTCACGAAGAGTCGGACACGACTAAACGACTAAACAACAACAACATTGGGAGCCCCTCAGAGTAGCTGGGGAAACTCAGCCAGATGGGTGGGGTATAAATAAATTATTATTAGTAGTAGTAGTAGTAGCAGTAGTAGTAGTAGTAATTGCAGGGAGATATGGGGCTGCTGTTCTTCACATGGTAACCCCACCTACTGCATGTGTGCCTCTGCTTGCCACTTATAATAACAGCACTGATGGGACCATGCAAATTACATTCTGGGGGCCTTCATTAAAAAGAGGTCCTCTGTAGACAATGCGGAATTCAAGGTCCTTCATATAAGTCAGGTCTTCTTCACGTCCTAGGAAATGATGCCATTGAACATGGAATTGCAACCCTTGATTATTTTCCTTATGTTCTTCCCAGCATGTAAGTGAAAAATCCTCTCCCCACTCTTGTAGACAATCCATTGCTTTGCTGTGTCATTCCATTCCATTTCATGTTTCATTTTGTCTCTCCATCTACAGACATTTCCTCACAAATTACCCTTACTCCGTCTGGAGGTGGCGTGAAAAGACCAGGAGACACATTGCAACTGACCTGTGCAGTGTCTGGATTTTCTGTAACAAGCTATGGAGTACACTGGATCCGTCAGCCACTCGGAAAGGGACTGGAGTGGGCTGGAGTTATTTGGAGTGGTGGAAGCACTAACTATAACAGTGGCCTCCAAAACCGGATCACCATCTCAAGAGACACCTCAAAAAACCAGGTGTTCCTGCAACTGAATGGCCTGAAGCCTGAAGACTCTGCCATGTATTACTGTTCCAGGGACACAGTGAGCAAAACGTTCTCAGAGGCAGTACAAAAACTCTGCTTCCTGAAAGCAAGATATCATTCAGTCATGGGTTTGTGGGCAGCAGCTGTGAGCAAGGCCATGTTCCATCCTGTGTTGCCCCTCAACCACAAAAGCACAATATGATGCCACACAAATGGTTCTTTAACAAATTAATTCTCTACAAATGTCAAAGTTCAAACATATTGGTCACCACAACTCTTCAAAGTGTGTTCAAACTATCCCAAGAGTGAAAAGGAAACACAGCTGAGCTAATCTTGGCCATCTGCTCAATACACCTTTGGGATTCATTTCTCTCCAAACATGTGACAGTTGCACAGACACATTGCATTCTCAGCTGGGTATTACAGTGCTATAAAGTCATCTGAACAGCTTCCTGCAATGTAAGCAGAGGGGGGAAATGCTGTTGGTGGTGCTCACGCTCCATGACGATGGGCAATGGAGTCCAAAGGCCTAAGACCACCTGCAAGAGAAGAGAGAGAGAAATGTACCATAATTTTGTCACAGAAAGAAACTGCCTAGGATATCCCTTTTAGATGGAGGTGACATATTTAATGGATGAAGAAGACAACCTTTAAAATAACCTTATTTCTTTATATATTTTCCTGAATGCTTTTATTTCATTCCC